CCTTGAAAGTAGTAAATTTCCCATCTCTGCAGTGTTTCAGCCACTGGTGACTATTAGGTGAGAGTATCGAAAGGGGATTCAAGCGTTAAAAGTGAATGAGATTCAGTCCTGTACTGGAGATCTAGGCAGCACAGTCAGTCAATGAAAGAAGTAAAAGGTATGAGGATTGCAAAGGAAGAGACAAAATAGGAATTTTTCATGGAGGAGAATATTATCTTTAGAAAAATCCAAAGACTCATCAGATAAATTATTAGAATTAAAAAGTTATTTTAGCAAGGTTGCTAGATACAAAGGCAGCATAAAAATTAATGCATTTCTATACATAGGCCACAAATGGAAAATCTAATAATACCTTTTAAAAGATGCCATTTATATAAAATATATATAAAACATAAAGTACCTAGGGATAATGTACAAAATATTTAGAGAAAATTATACAAATGCTTGAACACCTTAAAGGAAAACAGTTTAAATTAGTGAAGAGATAGGATCAAGGGATTAGTAGGCTCAATATTGTAAAGATGTCAATTCTCCCCAAATTGATATATAGATTCAATGCAATTCCAATAAAAATCCCAACAGGTTTTTTGTGGAACTTGACAAGCTGATTCTAAAATTTATATGGAGGAGAAAAGATCAAGAATAGCCAAGACATTCCTGAAGAAGAAGAACAAGGTGAGGAGACCGGCCTTACCAGATATAAAGAGATTATAAAATTTTAGTAATTAAGACAGTTTTGTATTTCTGGGATAGACACATTGGCCAGTGGGATAAAATAGAGAACCCAGAAGCAGATCCATGTGTTAAGTGGAAACCTATTTATGACAGAATTGCTGTTGCAGTTTGGGTGGGGAAAGGATGGTCTTTGCAATAAATAGTGCTAGGGACCATTGGGTAACCCTGTGGGATTAAATCAAATTGAATGCCTGTCTCATACCAAACACAAATCAATTCCAATTGTTGTAAACACTGAAATTTAAAGGACACAATGATAAAATGTAGAGACAATAATGTAGTAAAATATATTTACGATCTCATAGTAGGAAAGGGTTTCTTAAGACTTATATTGATGAATTTGACTACAAGAAAATGCAAAGATTCTGTTCATAAATAGATAACTGTAAAGAAAATACAAGGGTAGGCCATACACTTGGTAAAAGATATTTGTAACATGGATAACTGATAAAGGACAAGTATCCAGAATATACAAATGCAAATTAATTAAAAAAAAAATAAGCAATCCAGTAGAACAATGGGGAAAACACTCAACTAGTTACTTCACAGTAGAGGAAAGCCTTGTGACAGGAAAACTGTGGGAAGATGATAAACCTCATTGATAATCAGAGAAATGTAAATTAAAACTACATTTAATACATGTAAAGCCTGATAATATCAAATATGGATGAGAATACAGAACAACTGGAACACTGTATGTCGCTGGTGGAAGTATAAATTGGTACAACTTCTTTGAAAAACAATTTGGCCTTATCTGGTAATGTTAAATACTCATACCTGAAATTCTTGAATGTGTACAGGAGAAACACACACAAATTTGTGCTCAGAGCCGGACCATTAGCTGTAAACAGCCCAAACATTCATCAGTAGTAGAATGGATAAGTAAATTTTGACACAATCTTAAAGTAGCTGAAGTGAGTGAACAACCTAGATGAATCACCACTTGATCACCATTCCATTTTTATCCAAAAATACCCTGAGCAATAATAATATATTCTTTAAGAATACAAAATATATGGGATACAAGTTTACCTGTGAGAAGGGAAGGAAGAGGATATGAGGAGTCAGGGCCCAAAGAGAACTTCTAAGTTAAACTGAATGACAGATACTTTTTTAAAAATAAGTGTGAACAAATTTGAAAGATACTGTATAAAAACTGGCGTATTTTTAAAAATGAGTTCCTGTTAAGACTTAAGCAAGAGATGAAATGATCTTTGATGCCACCTAGTGTTCCTAGAGAGTTTAACATCTTTTAGGCTTCTGGCCCAGCTGCTCCTTTCTAGCTCTGTGAGCTGTGTTTCAGAGTAGAAACCAAACACAGATTCCCTTGTTTTCATCTCAGACATAGATTCTTCATTCTCAACTTCTGCATCTAGTCCTATGTTCCTCAGGGCAAGCCCCTTCTTTCCTCTTTTAAGACAATGGCTCTGTTTCTAACTTTCCTTTTAAGAGCTTTACCTCACCCAGAAACCTAAGTTTTTCTTTATTATGACTGAGGGAGCTAGGCATGCTGATAGGACTATTATGTGGCAGTCTTTGTCATTCTCAATCTTGCTGTATTAAAGACTGTTTTCAGTTGTCTTGTCATGACTTCCGTTCTACATTATTTTAGAGAAAGGATGTACAGGAAAAGTAGTGCCTCTGGATTAGTCACAAGGACTTAAAAACCTGGTGTCTCATTCTGCCCTGTACTGGAGTTGGGGGGAACCTGTGGTAATCTATCCTATGTGAGGGAAGAGAAGGCAAACTGTGGGTGAATTGAGAAATTCTATTCTTAAGTATGATCTCTGTTCCATGTGCAAGAGCCCAGCCCAGGAAACTTTTTCTCCCCTTTATGCATTCATAGCATAGTGAATTAAAAGGGAATTGCCATTCTTAGTGAAATCACATGCAGAACCCCCAGGGTTTTAACTCTGAAAGGAAAATCTCTGGAGTAGGTGAGGGCAGATGGACTATAAGACCCTGTTTCCCTTTATCTTTGAGACTTTCACTTTATTTTCTCCTAGTACTTTATGCTTGTTCCCAGGAAATATATTTGTTTCCTTCTTAAAACTCTTGCTTCCATCTGGCAATATTGGTTCATTTTGGGCTGGCATTTCCTTTATTTAATCTTTTGGAGAACTTTTTTTAACTTTCAAAGCCAGAAACCCGAGAGTCATTATTCATTCCTGTCTCTTTCTCTCCCCAATCCACCTTCCCTTCATCCCATCTGCAAATTTAGTAATTCTAATTCCACAGTATATCTCAAATACATCCATTTCCTTATACCATCATCTTTTCATGTTTTCACTTCATGCTTCTGTTCTTGCCTCCCTCTAGTCCACTTTCCACATAGTAACCAGAGTGATTCTTTAATATGTAAACTGGATCTCACATTTAAAACTTCAGTGGTTTCCAGCCAGGCATAGTAGCTCACGCCTGTAACCCTAGCACTCTGGGAGGCTGAGGCAGGAGGATGGCTTGAGCTCAGGAGTCCAAGACCAGCCCAAGGAAGAGTGAGACCCTGTCTCTACTGAAAAACAGGAAAAAATTAGCCAGGCATGATGGTGCGCGCCTGTAGTCCCAGCTATTCAGGAGGCTGAGGTAGGAGGATCACTTGAGCCCAGGAGTTGGAGGTTGCTGTGAGCTATGATGATGCCACTGTACTCCAGCCAAGGCAACAGAGACTCTGCCTCAGAAAAAAAAAAAGAAAAAACTTCAGTGGTTTCTTCATGCACTTAAAAATAAATCCAGTCTCTCTTTTCAAGGACCTACATGGAAATGAATGATCTGACCTTCCCAAGCTCATTTCCTCCCACTTCCTTCTGCCATCCCCATCAGCCTCACCTTCTGCATGGTGCCCTCACTAACCTTGTGGTTTCTTATACAGCCAAGCCCCCTGCTGCCTCTGGATTATCACAGATGCTATTATCTGTGCCTGGAATACTGTCTTCCACACTCATCCTTCCTCATAGAGACCTACCCTTCATCTAAATTTGGCCCTTTCTGATACTTCATCTCTAGTAGCATTCTGTTCTTTCATTGCATATATCATGATACATAATTATGTATTTATTTGTTTTATTTGTTTAATGCCTGCTTTTCATCCACAAGTTTGTGTTGTCCGTGAGGGCAGGAACTATGTATATGTTTGATTCACCACTCTTTACTCTATACCTAGCCCGTGCCTTATAGGTACACAATATGTATTTGTTAAGAGAATGAGTGAAAAGTAATACATAAACTGTAATTTACTTAACTGTTACCCTACTGCTGAATACTAAGGTTGTTCTCAGTTTTGGGTCATTCTACATAATAATGAAATAATTAATTTGAACATGGAGATTTTTATTTCCTTAGGGTAGATTCTCAGAAGTGGAGTTGCTAGGTCAAAAAGTATAAATATTTTTAAGGCTCATAAAACATATTTCCAAATCAGGTATTTGGAATAAATGTTGGAATTTTAAAATGCTTTCCTTTTTATTTTCTCAGTTTTGAATATATAGAACATGTAAGAGAGCAGCTCAAATGAAAAAACTTAGCATCCTACTCTCATAAAATGCGTTTGTTGAGTGTTTATTCTGTGCCACACGTGAGATAACAGATTTGCCCTAGTTCATACAACCCAGACTATCTCGTGTAAACCATTTTATACTTGTCCACATACCTCTCTGCACTAATTTACTTTTGTTCTAAAGTGCTACAAATTTAATGTCACTTCACCCAGATCTTCTTCCAAACTGTTACATCCATGTGAATGCCCTCCTATTCACCCACCAGTCCTTGCTTTTTTTGCCACATGATGCTAGAGCCTGGGGTGCCATGCCCCCTTGTCAGATCCCTAGGAACAACCCAGTTCAGCTGACCATCCAGAGCCCTACTGTCTGGTTCACTCTGAGATGTACATCATCTTTGTGGGGTGGTTAGCATGAAGATAAATGGCTCATTCCTTCAGTTATGTCCCCACACTGATTTACATGGGTGGTCCATTTTGACCCAGCGTAACAGGTCCCTAACCACATAGTAATTATAAAATTGGCAGGCTGCGCTTATTGTCACAGGAAAGGCATTCTGCCTCCTGGGTATTCTTGTTTAACTCTAAGGAGCTTGTGGCTATTTAGGGGAGAAGTCCATTCTCTATGTTAGGCTGCAAGTATTCACCTGGGCCCGTGTTGATCCCCCCAAGAAAAGGTAGAATTTGCTGCCAGGGCAGGGTTTGGTGCAACAGTTTTCATGTTTTATTTCTATCCTGCTAATAACTCTTCTAATTTCTTTTAATCTTCCAGGCTCTCCCTGCTTGTCCTATCCAGGCCACCTGTGAAGCTGCCTCCAAGGAGGAAAACAAGGAAAAAAATCGATATGTAAACATCTTGCCTTGTGAGTGTTTGTAGTGTTCTTGGGATGTAACCCGAAACTACATCTCTTGCCAGATTTTCTGAGGATAGAAAGAATCTTGTGGTTGGTAATAACAGTGGGGTTAAGGCTTTGGGCTGAAAGGGCCTTTATAGTTCCCAGTGTGACCCCATATTCTCACAGAGTCAATTAAGTGGTTGACCAGGATTTTTGTGCCAGGCCTAAAGTTTCTGGTAGGCCAGAGAGAACAGCTCCAGTCAGGAAGCAGGTTGTGGTGATGGTGGTGGTGGTTTTATGTAGTGCTCATTGAAAGAAATTCCAATACAGAGTTCTCAACCTCTTTCCCAAGTTAGCCATTGCTGATCAGTTGATCTATAACCTACAGACATTTCTCTAGGCCAGTGATCTCCAGAGTGGAATATGCATAATTTAGTAGGACGTGAGAGGAAGATGTTTAAACTTCCTTTTGTTTTTATATTTGATTTTTTTATTCATCTTTTAAAAAATTTTATATATTTTATAATGGGTACATAATACATTAGTACGTGTGCATAATTTACCAATAAATGAACATATATCAGAGATGCCACTCAAATTTTTATTGGTGGGGTATAGTACTAAAAAAATTGTAGAGATCGCTACATTAGGCATGTACAGATACTTTTGTCATCTTATTTGTGTACATATGTATTGGTGGGGGTGAATATATTACATATTTTTTTAAATATATGATATACATCTTCTGACTTTTTTCTTTTAAGAGTATTATCAGTTCATCTGTCAAGAAACACTTTCCTGGGCCGGGCGCAATGGCTCACGCCCGTAATCCTAGCACTCTGGGAGGCCAAGGCAGGTGGATTGCTCAAGGTCAGGAGTTCAAAACCAGCCTGAGCGAGAGCGAGACCCCATCTCTACTAAAAATAGAAAGAAATTAATTGGCCAACTAAAAAATATATAGAAAAAATTAGCCAGGCATGGTGGCACGTGCCTGTAGTCCCAGCTACTCAGGAGGCTGAGGCAGGAGGATCTCCTGAGCCCAGGAGTTTGAGGTTGCTGTGAGCTAGGCTGACGCCATGGCATTCTAGCCCGGGCAACAGAGTGAGTCTCTGTCTCAAGAAAAGAAAAAAAAAAGAAACACTTTCCTTTTTTATCAACTGCTTAGTATTCCATATTGTGGATATATCTGTATTTAACTAGTCTCCTAATTATAGCTGAGGTATTCCAAATCTTTGCTGTTACAAATAGTGTTGGAATATGATATCTTTATACATGTGTGTCTCTGTACACATAGGCACAGATGTCTCAGCTATCCTGGTTGCATCAGGAAGAGTGAGTAATAAAATTGAATTTTATTGAAATATTAATTCTTGGGTTTTTTTCCTAGATGACCACTCTAGAGTCCACCTGACACCAGTTGAAGGGGTTCCAGATTCTGATTACATCAATGCTTCATTCATCAACGTAAGGAACTGTTGCTTTTCTCATTATCCTCCCTGAATGACTGCTGACTGCCATCTGCTGGCTGCTTCCCAGCTGTGCATTGGGGGGGAGTATTTGTAATTTCATGTTTTCCTTGAGGAATCTGATTTTTACCCTGTCATCATTCGCAGAGGTTTCCCATATAGAAATCTGAATCTAAATATGTATTTTTCTGTACAAGTCAGTGGATCCTTTACTGAGCTGATTCAAATAACTATAAACAAAAGCAAGCCTTGTACTCAATAGTAAAAATAAGCCAGGTGCAGTGGCTCATGCCTGTGAACCCTGCTACTCCAGAAGCAATGGCAGAAAGATAACTTGAGCCAAGAGTTCAAGCCCAGCCTGGATGATACAGCAAGACCTCATCTCAGCCAGGTGCGGTGGCTCACGCCTGTAATCCTAGCACTCTGGGAGGCCGAGGCAGGCAGATCATTTGAGCTCAGGAGTTCAAGACCAGCTTGAACAAGAGTGAGACCCCATCTCTACTAAAAAACTAGAAAGAAATTAGCTGGACAACTAAAAAAAAAAAATATATATATATATATATAATTAGCCGAGCATGGTGGCATGTACCTGTAGTCCCCACTACTTGGGAGGCTGAGGCAGAAGGATCACTTGAGTCCTGGAGTTTGAGGTTGCTGTGAGCTAGGCTGACACCATAGCACTCTAGCCTGGGCAACAGAGTGAGACTCTATCTCAACAAGAAAAGAAAGACCTCATCTCGAAGCAAAAAGGCTGGGCGTAGTGGCTCATGCTTGTAAATTCTAGCACTTTGAGATGCCACAGCAAGAGGATAGCTTGAAGCCAAGAGTTCAAGACCAGCATGCAACATAGCAAGACCCTGTCTCTATAAAAAATACAAAAATTAACCGGGCATGGTGGCATGTACCTGTAGTCCCAGCTACTTGGGAATTCGAAGTAGGGGGATATCTTGAGCCTAGGAGTTTGAGGTTGCAAGGAGCTATGATGAAGCCACTGCACTCTAGCCTAAGCAACAGAGTGAGACCCTGTCTCCCCCCAAAAAAAATCCTGGCTGAGCATGAAGGGGAATAAGGGGCAGGAAATACACACACACACACACACACGCACCCACACACTGCACACACACAAACAGGTCATATCTACTATGACCCAAGGGCTGAAGGAAGAGCTGACACTGGGAGGGTTTCTGTTTTTCTTTTTCTTTTTCTTTTTTTTTTTTTTTGGAGACAGAGTCTTGTTTTGTTGCCCAGGCTAGAGTGAGTGCCGTGGCGTCAGCCTTCCTCACAGCAACCTCAAACTCCTGGGCTCAATCCTCCTGCCTCAGCCTCCCGAGTAGCGGGGACTACAGGCATGTGCCACTATGCCCAGCTAATTTTTTCTATATATATTAGTTGGCCAATTAATTTATTTCTATTTACAGTAGAGATGGGGGTCTCACTCTTGCTTAGGCTGGTTTCGAACTCCTGACCTTGAGCAGTCCACCCGCTTCGGCCTCCCACAGTGCTAGGATTACAGGCATGAGCCACCGCACCTGGCCAGGGAGGGTTTTGGTTTTTTTTTAGGGGTGATTTAGAGAATGTTTATAGAGGTGGTCTGAAAGACTTGAGTATGTTTTATAGGTTATAAGGGAAGGAGCTTATAGAGAGAGTGAGTTTGAACAGAAAACAGAGAAAGCTAGCAAAACTTTGTCTACCTGACTCCTGATGCAGGATGCATAAGGAGAAGAATACTGTTGGAATTTATACACACATTTTTATAGCAGAATTATTCACAAAAGGTCGAAGCAACCCAAGTGTCATTTGACAGATGAATAGATAAATAAAATGTGGTATATACATACAATGGAATGTTATTCAGCCTTTAAAAGGAAGGAAGTTCTGACACATGGCACAGCATAGATGAGCCTTGAAGACATTATGCTAAACGAAATAAACCAGTCACAAAAAGACAAATATTGTATGATTCTACACATAGAATATAGAGTATATATGCATATATAGAGTAGTCAAATTCATAGAGACAGAAAGCAGAATAGTGGTTGACTTGAACCAGGAGGGATATGAGGAATTAGTATTTATTAGGTACAGAGTTCCAGTTAGGGAAGATGAAAAAGTTCTGGAGATGGTGGTAATGGTTGCACAACGGTGTGAATGTACCTAATGCTATAGAACTGTATACTTAAAATTGGCTGGGCACAATGGCTCACACCTGTAATTCTAGCACTCTGTGAGGCTGAGGCAAAAGGATCACTTGAGGCCAGGAATTCAAGACCAGCCTGAGCAAGAGTGAGACCCTGTCTCTACTAAAAATAGAAAAATTAGTCGGGCGTCATGATGCATGTAGTCCCAGCTACTCAGGAGGCTGAGGCAAGAGGATCATTTAAACCCAGGTGTTTGAGTCTTTAGTGAGCTATGGTGACACCACTGCACTCTAGCCCAAATGATAGAGACCTTGTCTCCAAAAAAAAGAAAAAAAATGTCTAAAATTGTAAATTTTATGTTATATTTTACTATACACACACACACTCCCCCCCCCCAAAAAAAAAAACACTTATGGAGAGGTTAGCCTGAATGTAAGATGGGGCATTTTTTCCTGAGATTAATGGTAAAGGAGGGGATAGAAGAGATAGAGATGATTTGTAGGTGTTGGTAAAGCAAGTTGAAAAAACTCTGTTTTCTCCATGAAGTAAAGTCATGGTTATCTGCTGAAAGGAGGAGGTGAGACTGATGTGAGCATAGTGAAACTTTGTAACAGCTTCTGAGATCCCTGACAAAGGATATTGAAGAGGAAAGAACAGGGCATGTCTAGCTGCACAGAGGGCCTGTCTACCTACCACGGGAAGTCATTGGTGGATGAGGCCTTAGTTGTGTGATTTTCTCCAGCTGTACCCTGGAATTGGTGATAAATGCAGGGAGCATGTGATACTCAGACAAAAGAGCTGGGAAGATCAATTATGCTTCCAGTAGTCAGCCAAGGTCTTCAGGTTCAGTAGAAAAAAGAAATGTTAAGAATGAACCATAGGCCGGGCGTGGTGGCTCACGCCTGTAATCCTAGCACTCTGGGAGGCTTAGGTGGGTGGATTGCTCGAGGTCAGGAGTTCGAAACCAGCCTGAGTAAGAGCGAGACCCTGTCTCTACTATAAATAGAAAGAAATTAATTGACCAACTAAAATATATATATACAAAAAATTACCCAGGCATGGTGGTGCATGCCTGTAGTCCCAGCTACTTGGGAGGCTGAGGCAGAAGGATTGCTTGAGCTCAGGAGTTTGAGGTTGCTGTGAGCTAGGTTGATGCCACGGCACTCACTCTAGCCTGGGCAACAAAGCGAGACTCTGTCTCAAAAATAAAAAATAAAAAAAAGAATGAACCAATATACTAGGAAAAGGTGATGGGATCAAGGAATTGGAGCTATTGAGAAGGTTGAAAGAGCAACGCACAAAAAGGTGAAAAATAGAAGAATGGGAGGTTGTGGCCAAACAATAGGCTATTAGATGGACTTCAGAAATGCCTCATGTCCAGACATTCACACTAGAGTAGATTTGTTGAAATTCTTGTATATATATTTAACAGTGACAGTCACATGTTTGTAGTTGGAAGAAAAAGGACCCTGATTAGATAAATAATTGCTGCAGTAGGTGAGGAAAATGGAGAGAGGCTAGTAATCAGCTGGAATTCCTAGGACTTACGTCAGAGGTCATGATGAAAATGTTGGGTGAAACAGGTTGACTTTAATATTATGGAAAAGAATGTAGTAATATCAGGTAGAATGTAGTTACAGGTAAAAAAAAATACTCAACTAAAAGTTTTCTAGATTATAACATTTTTCTCATATAATATGGATGCAGCTGTAGACCAGTTTATGGTTGCCTAATTCCATGGCTCAGTGACATCCTTAAGAACCCAGGTGCTTCCATCTTTCTATTCAGATGTCCTCAGCCTGTCAGCAATGTCTCATGGTCACAGGATGGCTGCAGCAGTCCTAAGCATTCCTTGTAAACACAGCACATTTCTGTTTATGCTTTTGTCTTTATTAGGAAGCAAGACCTGTCACAGAAGCCTCTCCAGCATACTGTCCCTCAGGGCCAACAGGCTAGGACTGGATCACATGCTCATGTCCGCTCTCCAGCCTCTGGCAAGGGCATTGAAAATTATTATCATGATTTATCCATCTGAAGCTGGGGAATGGTCACCTTCTAAGCCAATGGCAGATTAATGTCCAAACAAAATTAGGTTCTAAGGGCAAGGAAGAAAGGGGAAGAATGACTTTTGAGTTAGTAACCAGCAGCATCTGTCACTATAACCAATTTAGCCCTCTCCTACGTTGTTTTGTTTTGTTTTGTTTTGTTGAGACAGGGTCTTGCTTTGTTGCCTTGGATAGAGTGCAGTGGCATCATCATAGCTTACTGCAGCCTTGAACTCCTGGACTCAAGCAATCCTTCTGCCTCAGCTTCCCGAGTAGCCGAGACTGCAGGCGTGTGTTACTGCGCCTGGCAAATTTTTCTAGTTTTTGTAGAATCATGGTCTCGATATGTTGTTCAGACTGGTCTCGAACTCTTGGCCTCGAATGCTTCTCCTGCCTTAGCCTCCCAAAGTGGTAGGATTATAGGCGCAAGCCACTGCGCCCAGCCCCCTTCCCACATTGAAGATGAAAACAGTCAAAAATTAGTTGGATGTTAAGGCTGGTAAGCAGGTACGAAAGGGGTCTATTTGTGGTAATACCACAATAGAAAAAAAAAACAGGCCTTCTCCCTTGACCATGCTTAGTTGGAGCTCACAGTAGGGCATCTTATAATGCTTTGATAGTTATTAGAGAGTTATTAATAACTGGAATGAGAGTTGAGGTAAGAAGAGTTAAATTGAGAGCCTTATGAACTCAGTGAGTGTAGAAAAGCAGGAAAAAAACTATGGTTAACTATGAGTTAGGAGGCAGGGATTAAAGAAGACTTAGACTTCACATTTTGTTAAACTCAGCCAACACTTTTTAAGTACCTGCTGTGTGCCCCACACTGTGCGTAGGCTTAAAGGTTACAAAGATAAGATGTGGTCCCTGGTATAACACCCAGATAGGTAGATCATTTCTTGTAATGTGCTACATGTGCAAAGGAGGTGGCCAGCTTCTGTGGAGTTCAGAGAAAAAACATTCATCCCAACCTGGTAATCTAGTAGAGCTCAGTATTGAAGGGTGAATCAGAGTTCAGGACAAGAAAGATGGGCAGAAACTTCAAAGCAAAGGAGAATCATAAGAAAAATCACAGACTAGAAACATCAGTCTTAGGTTATAAGGTGGGAGATGAGACTTGATCTTGGAAGGCATTGAATGTCATGTGTGTCCATCGGGGTTCTTGGTTGCAGACCAGAGTCTACTTTTTTCTACTCTTTTAAGCAGAAAGGGATTTATTATAAGATGCTGGGTAGCCTACAAAGCCTGTGGAAGGGGCAGTGAACCAAGCGTAGGTGCTGCTTAGCAGGGAACAGAGCAGCTATAGATGTATGCAACTACATTATATGACTGTCACAGTGAAACCTAACAGGTGCTACAAAAGAACTGGATACTTCTGCTACCATGCTTGCCCAAAGACTAGGTTTCTAGCACAGTTGCCATCTCACATTGCTCACTTCTGTCCCAAGTCTTGTGTGGGAGCATGTGATAGGAAGAAGCTAGATCTTGTGAAGAACTGAGCTGCAAAGGAGTCTAGGAAATTTAGCTTTTAGTTTCCCAGCCTCTATAAGTAAGAAAGTAAAGCTTAGAAGGGGGTGGGAGTGAGTCCTGAGTGAGCCACCTTATAGTGTCTGACAGCTTTCATTTCAGCTAAGGGGCTTTGATTAATTCTCTAGGGGTACCATCAAAAAGTGTTAAAGATGAGGAGTATTATGGCCACATTTGCGTATTGATCACTCAGGTCATCGTGTGCAACATGTATTTAGGAGGGCCAATTAGGGGCTATTACAATAGCAGGTCACAGACGATGAAGGCCTGTTGAAGAGGATGTAACAAAGTAAAAACCACTTTGGAGGTAGAATTTAGCAGGAATTCGTAATTGATTGTATATGCAAGAGAGTATAGGGTGATATCCACATGGTTGTATCCAGCATACAGCTGGTCATATTGATCTGGAGCTCAGAGGAGATATGCCAAAGCCATGGCATATAGAGAAGTCATTAGAGAAGAGTATATAGGAGTCATTAGAGAAGAGTAGGCCAAGAGCAGGGTCCTGGGACCCACAGCCACTGGTAGGCACACTGAACAGGAAGTACCCATGGGTGTGACAGAAGGAGACTGAGAGGAGAGCATGTGAAAAAGCAGAGAGTAGTGTGGAGGAAGGGTTTGGTGACCAACAAGGCTAAGTGCATGTTGAAGATCCAGTGAGAAGGAGGGAACAGGTGTTCTTTGGACTTGGTGTGTAGGGTAAACAGTGTCCTTTGCTGAAGCAAATTCAGAGACCATTTGTTGAGCCTCTTGTGACCTGCTAGTTACACTTATCCTTTTTTCCCCTAACTTTATTGAGGTATAATTTATATAACATAAAATTCACTCATTTTAAATGTAGCATTCAACAATTTATAGTAAATATACGGAGTTATGCAGCCATCACCATAATTGTTTTAGAACATTTTCTAACAACCTTACTGAGATAAAATTCACATACCATACATTTCTCCCAAAGTTTACAGTTCAGTGGTTTTTAGTATATTTATAGGTATATGCAACCATCACCAGTCAATTTTAGAACATTTCGTCCCTTCAAAAAAGGAACCTTGTACTCTTGAGCTATTGTTTCTTTAGTTTTAGAGCACGTTGCTTACCCCAACAAGAACCTTTATGTCTCTATACAGTTTATTCCCATTCCTACCTCTAGCAACCACTTACCAAGCCCTTTTTATATAGAGAATGAAGATCACACATAGATCTTGAAGGGAATTGGTAACAGGCACCATGGAGCGGTGGTGACAAGCAGAGGGAAATGGAGTCAGTAGTTTGAAAAATACAAATGTTAGCTAACCTACTGGTCACAGGAGACAGAACAGAGGCAGTGGCACAGATGGCAGGTGGGCTTGCAGGCTAAAGTCTTAGGAAGAACAACTTTCCTCAATTCATTGTTAGATAACTCGGAGCATATAGAGTCTTTTTTAAAAAAAATAAAGATGGGGTCTCACTCTTGCTCAGGCTGGTCTCAAACTCCTAAGTTCAAGTGATCCTATGGCCTCAGCCTCCCAGAGTGCTAGGATTACAGGTGTGAGCCACCACACTCGGCCTGGGGTTTTCAGAAGTATTTCTTTTTACTGGTAGGAATGTAGCTACTGCCTACAGCCAGCTGGGATTCAGCTTTCAGAATCCAGAGACATCTTAGGAGCCAGGGAACCACATTTCATCTTTCCCTGGAACATAACACAAGGAAGACACTGTATTGGTTAAGCAGTGCTGCCATATTACTATATAGGCGTGCTTTTCATGAGGGCATATGGCCCACTCCTGGTAAAGATGGAGCAGGAAGCACTTTGAGGCTGGGTCTTCCAAGAGCTTCCAACAGCTTTCAGGCTGTTCAGGCCCTACATGCTTTGAGGAGAATTTAGCAATGACTTTTCATGGAGCAAGAATATGATGTACTTAACATACTCTTAAGAGCTTCTCAGTATTAATTACAAGTTTAGTCTATAAGCAGAATTCAGCATCCTGAATTAAAGCTGTCTCAGTTTCCATCCTCTAATGACTTAAAAACATTTGCTAAAACTTAAATTCCTCTTTTCACTAAAAATTTTAACAAGTTTTCTGTTGCTGACTCTGAACAGGTCCATCTCTGAGGCCTAAAGCTTTCTCCTTCTATTATATGTTGGGAAGCCACTCTTCCCTGCCCTTGTTTGAACTAAAATAAGACATTGCTTCTCAGATTTAGGCTCTTTCCTTTATTTGGTCACTGACTTGGCAGCTCTGTATGTCACATTGTCATCTTGGTGTGATGTGACGTCCCATAGATGAAGCTGCCTCTCACATTGCCCATCTCATTGCTGTCTGAGTGGGGCAGAGAGTGATACACAATCCTTAAATGATTTTCACTTACCAAGGACTTCTCAAGTGAACATTACATTTAAACAGTGAGGATGAAAAGACAGATAACTAGAATGGTAAAGACTGAGAAAGAAAGTTACTGCCAGATGTTAGTTTTTCAGAGGCTCTTTATCTGTTGAGTGGCACCCCCAGCTCTTCTGCTTCTTGTCTCCCACTGCCTCTGAAGAAGCCTCTTGTCAAACACTGGGAGCTATTCCACCATACCCACAGGCTATTCCCAGAAAGTGTTTGCACCTGGGTAAAGCATCCTCAAGAAAATAACCTTTTGTCCTTCCGAGAGAGGGTCAAGCTTCATCCCTGGAATCACCACATATACCCCTGCCTGGAGGGTTCTTACGTACTGAAACTTACGTTGTTAGCTGCTGATACAGCATCAGAAACATGGTCTAGTCTAGGAGTTGGTATTTGGATATTCTTGTATCAGTATTTACTAATAATTCACTTTGAGAAGATGACCTAGGCCATTTGAGTTTTGTAGTCTTCAATCCCTAGCTCCAAAGCTAATCCCTTGGGAATTTCTAGCCTAGAAATCTTTGTTAAGTGCCTGCACTTTTTCACAAGGGAGGCTTTGTTAACTGGTTGGGAGTCAGACTGGAGAATTTCATTCATATCCATTTTTGATTTTCACTTTCTTTTTCTCCCCTCACCCCAGGGCTACCAAGAAAAGAACAAATTCATTGCTGCACAAGGTAAAGTAATGACAACTTTTTACTTTAGGTTTAACCATGAGCCCATAGTGGGTTTGGGTTTTTCTTCCAAATCTAAATGGATTAATCAGAATGCATTAACTTTTCTATAATTTTTACCACCTGAAAAAAATATAAATCCACCTTATAGGTTTATAACTAAGAGCTTTCATTTTAGTGACCTAGTATCCAGGGGTCCTTTAAAAGAAATTCTTTTGTATATGTGTATTAAAACACACACCACCACCACCACCACCCGTCTTATTGGGGCCAATTAACCTTAGGTGCTAGCCTGGCTGCTCAAAGTTTAAATTTAGAATTAGTCTCCAAAGAGGATTAGCAACCCCACAAGGTCCAGACTGATTCTTCTCCCCCAACTCAGGGGCTTAGTGCCCCCATTATTTGCAGGTGGATGGTGTAGGAACCTTAGAGTGGGGGCAGTGCCATGGTCTTTTACGTGCTCTACATACATTTCCATAGCCTGCTGTTCTAACAAGAAGTGTATTCACTCTTGGGATCCTAGCAAAAATACTTTGATGTCTGCAGCATTAAAAAGTAATTGACGGCCAGGCAAGGTGGCTCACGCCCGTAATCCTAGCACTCTGGGAGGCCAAGGCAGGTGGATCGCTCAAGGTCAGGAATTCAAGACCAGCCTGAGCAGGAGCGAGACCCTGTCTCTACTAAAAATAGAAAGAAATTAATTGGCCAACTAAAAATATATAGAAAAAATTAGCCGGGCATGGTGATGCATGCCTGTAGTCCCAGCTACTCAGGAGGCTGAGGCAGTAGGATTGCTTGAGCCCTGGAGTTTGAGGTTGCTGTGAGCTAGGCTGACACCACAGCACTCTAGCCCGGGCAGAGTGAGACTCTGTCTCAAAAAAAAAAAAAAAAAGTAATTGATGTTATTGTTGTCCACCAAAGCTGATTTATTCAGTCACTCAACAAACATTTATTGACCATCTATTATGCACCTGGCACTGGCCTAAATAATGGGGATATGGAGAGGAATAAAACAAGATATGGCCCCTGCCTTCTTGGAGCCTTTAGTTGGTAGAGGAGAGTGTATAGCAAATAAGTATATTATTTGTTAAGTGAGTATGCAGTTCATTATAATAGCACACGTAACTATTTAAAATTAAGTTTCTAATTAAAGTTAAATAAAATTTAAATTTCTGGCCGGGCGCTGTGGCTCACGCCTGTAATCCTAGCTCTTGGGAGGCCGAGGCGGGCGGATTGCTCAAGGTCAGGAGTTCAAAACCAGCCTGAGCAAGAGTGAGACCCCGTCTCTACTATAAATAGAAAGAAATTAATTGGCCAACTGATATATATATAAAAAATTAGCCGGGCATGGTGGCACATGCCTGTAGTCCCAGCTACTTGGGAGGCTGAGGCAGGAGGATCGCTTGAGCCCAGGAGTTTGAGGTTGCTGTGAGCTAGGCTGACGCCACGGCACTCACTCTAACCTGGACAACAAAGTGAGACTCTGTCTCAAAAAAAAAAAAAAAAAAAAAAATTTAAATTTCAGTTCCCTCATTGTACTAGTCATATTTTAACAGTCAATAGCTACATCTTGCTAGGGGCTACCATATTAGTATAGATATAAAATATTTCCATCATTACAGAAAATTCTGTTGAAAAGTACTGTGACAGAAAAAATAATGATATAAGCTAAATTAGAGATAGAGGTAAATTAAGGTGGTTGGGGAAAGCCTCATATCCTCCTTGCCCTTGCAGTCTCCCACCAGGGCCTGGCCATTGCCTAACTAGGCCCTAGCCTTCCCTCTGCAGCCACCTGTCAATTTAAGCCACCTTCCAAGGCCCAGCTCAGATGCTGCCTATTCAGTGATGATTTTACCATGGTCAACCACATGCAGTTTCTTCCTTTGTTTGCTATGTTGTTGGTGCTAAATATTCATTGAATAAGGTCACCTGTGACTTCCTGATGGCCCTTTTCTCTGACTCCCATCCTCTTGTACCTCTCCTTTGTTATATGCTGACATTGAGTTCTCTTGATTTTTCTCACTTTCTAAATGTTCCTCTTCTGGCTTTTGTTCACAACTCTTTCTGCCCTTTAAGCATAGTTTAATTTCTCCCCAAATTTGTGGATGACCACTTCCTTGGAACTCTGTCTCCATCTTTCATTGCTCCGTTTTCTCTTGGTTCTCCTGCCTCTCCATCTGTATTCCTTATTCTCCTTCCCTGGCTTTTTATTCTATTTGAACTGGAATCATGCTAAGGATCCCCAGCATTCTTTGGCCCCTTTTTCTCCTTCTCTTCTGTATTCTCTTTGCAAGACCACATCTATACCCACCTCTGTTTGGCTGGCTGCTGCCCCTTGAGCTCCTGAGCCATGTTTTCAGAGGAGTTTTGCACCCCTCCACCTGCACATCCCAAGACTCTTCAGATTCAACATCAGAAATTAAAATATGACTCTTACTCAACTTCAAAATTGCTTTTCCTCTATTCTCTGGCTGTCATGATGACTGTAATGTAAGCCACCTAAATCAGCTAGCCAAATTCTAGCTTGTCCAGATCTCTTACCTGTCTCCTGCTCTAGAAATGATTAGTCCTCTTGTTCTGTCTTTTCTGACATACGGCTTTACCCCATCTTTCCTCCCATCTGTGTTGCAGTAGCCTGTTGACTGATTCCTCTGCCTTAGCCTGGCCCTTTAGGTTCTGGTATCTCACCAACCTTTCTAGCCCCATCTCCTGCTACTCCCTGTAGCCTGCACGAAGGCCTCGATGAACTCCTTGCAGTCCCTGGGCCTCTGGTACTCTTTTTATAAGCTGCTAGCCCCTTGCCCCTCTGCCTGGAGTGCCCCTTCTCCCTGTGCCCCCTTTCTAAACTCCCAGCCACCTGATCTACCCTAAGAAAGGGTTCAGATGTCACCTCCCCTTGGAGATTGCCCTGACCTTGTGCGGCAGTGAAGCACTCCCCCTTTTGTACATCTTTCTGGCATGTATCCAACTGCTATTATTGTTTGTTTTTCTTTTTAATATTATTATATTTTTATTTTTACCAAAGGGAATACAAAGTTTAAGAAAATCAGAAGAGACTACAAAACTTAAATTACAAAGTTCTCCTCCTTTTCCTTTTCACTTTTTTATTTATTTTTTTTATTTTTTATTTTTTTAGAGACAGAGTCTCACTTTGTTGCCCAGGCTAGAGAGTGAGTGCCAGGGCATCAGCCTAGCTCACAGCAACCTCAATCTCCTGGGCTCAAGCGATCCTACTGCCTCAGCCTCCCAAGTAGCTGGGACTACAGGCATTCGCCACCATGCCCGGCTAATTTTTTTATATATATATATTTTTAGTTGGTCAATTAATTTCTTTCTATTTTTAGTAGAGACGAGGTCTCACTCAGGCTGGTTTTAAACTCCTGACCTCGAGCAATCCACCCGCCTCAGCCTCCCAGAGTGCTAGGATTACAGGAGTGAGCCACCGCACCCAGCCCCTTTTCACTTTTTTAGACTAATGGCCCTAAGGCAACCATTTTTATCCATTGACTTCTTATGGTAGATGACAGCCATCTAATCCCCTTACAAGGAACCTCCCCTCAATCAGACAGACATCCACACATATGTCCTCTTCCCCATTCTCCTAGTAGAGTCAAATCACAATTTTGGATTAAGGTAATATTTGTTATTTATATTATTGTGAGTATACAAATATTATTCACAGTTGAAACACATAGTATTATGACTTTTTTTTTGTAGTTTTCCTCCCCCTCTTTTCCAAGAGTTAATGTTTGCCCTTTTTCCTAATTATTTAGTTTTTATATACCTACTACTGATTTTTTCCCCTAAACTCTTTGCTAGTAGTATATATCTTCTCTCAGTACTCTCAGATACATGAGGTTTAATTCTTACAAGTTTCATTTTTTATCTTGGGATCCTTCTAGAACCTTCTCTTTTCAGTTCTGTTGTGGATTGATTGACCTCTAGCCTCTGGCAGAGTTATCCTAAAACTTTCCTTCACCAATACCCTGGGAATTCTACTAGTCTCTCTGCTCTTAGATCTTATTTCTTTCCCTTGCTTTGTTTACTTTCTCATTTTTGTTTAGAATTTTCTAGTGGCTTTCTGAAAAGGGCTGTGTGGGAGATAAATTTTGACTTCCATTGATCACTTTTTGGTGGAGTAAAAAAAAAAAAAAAAAAATTTTGACTTCCAGCCTGAGCAAGTCATCCAACCTTTCTGGGGCTGATGACAACCCACACAGAGCATGATAGGAAGCAGTAGATACCATATGGAACGCTTAGCTCATTGTCAGGCCCATATGTAGGTATTCAGTGACCAGTCATGATTTTTGTTGTCACCTATATCTTCGGGAGATGTTGTTCGTGTTCTGTTTATATTTTGACAACCTCCCCTACCGTCACCCAATCCTGGTGAAGTTCCTAGCAAGTACATGGTGGAAATATGGGAAATGTCCACTTAGGTGGATGGATGGGATGGATATTTAGTTCAGGACACATAGGCACAGGCTGCCAAAAGTCAGGAATGAATGTTCCCAATTTCCCAGCATTTTTCTTCCCCCTGGTGTGTAATTGCTTCATCTTTGCTATTGACTTTTAGGACCAAAAGAAGAAACAGTGAATGATTTCTGGAGGATGATCTGGGAACAAAACACAGCTACCATTGTCATGGTGACCAACCTGAAGGAGAGAAAGGAAGTAAGTGGAGAAATTAGTAGGAGGATGCCTGGTACCGGTGTGACCAGCAAAGGAACTGCTTGGCTGGAGCTCTGAGCTTGAGCCTGGCTGTCTACCTTTGGTGGTTGCTCTGCCAGTGGTTCATCCAGACAGACAGAGGGTGATTTATCTACCAGGCTTCTCTCTGAAGGAAGGCTTCCCTGGAAGCCTCAAATGAACTGAACCTAGGGTGCACCTGGAGCACGTTCCCTGTTTTTGGTAGTCAAATAAGTCGGGTTGTTTCAGGTTCCAAAACAACCTGAAAGAAAGACTTGTGCCATTAGCTAAAGAAAAGCTACAGAGAGGTTTTCCCCCCTGCTTTCTCTACTCTTCATTCCCCTGGTTTCCTGTCCTACCTCCTAAGCCTTGGTTTATCCTAGAATCAGCAGAGGAAGCTATATAAACTGAGACCCCTACAGGAGTACAAGGGAATGGGAGGCCTTGGCCTGATCCTGCAGGCAGCCTTCTGGCTGGTCCTTTTCCTTTTGAGATTACCAAGTCTATGCCTGGCCTAACCAGCCCCATCACTGGGCCACAGCCAGTGTCAATCCTGGGTCCTGGATATAGTCCCAGAGAAGAATCCCCATTCATGACAGTTTTTCTTGAGGATGGCCCTTGAGTCACCTTGATCACCATCTTGGTATATTGGGTGTATTGATCGCAGCTCCACATGCCTAGGAAGGATAAGGCTTGGGCTGGGCTTTAGGTTAGTTTCCTCCATCCAGACCTCTGGCAGTTGGAAGCTATCCAAGGTCCAGGCAAGAGAGAAGGCCTCAGGCCCCACATTGGCAGATTTACAGACTGTATCAGTCCACTTTGGTGGCCCCCTCATAGCAGACTGCTGGTTTAAGGAGTTCAGACAGACTTGTCCCTAGAGCATGACCTTGGATATCATGGAAGTGCAGATTTTATAGGTAAAATGGCTTCAGATTCACCTTGAACCAAAGAAGAGCGAGTGGGGATAGGAAAGGTTGAGAAGTGTGGAGCTGGGGCCCTGTGTAAGTTAGGAGATTTTGCTAAATAGGATGAAAGCTGAGGAACTTGAGAAAAGGACAATTAGAATAAATAAGTCTATAACTGACTGAGATAAAAGAAGAGGCCATTTAGTCTGGGGGCTTTAATCTGGGCTTTATAGTCTCTTCCTTTTAGGTACCACCAGGGGTGGGAGGTCTGAGGTCAGGGAATGCATGTCTGTTTCTTTCCAGTGTAAGTGCGCCCAGTACTGGCCAGACCAAGGCTGCTGGACTTATGGCAATATCCGTGTTTCTGTAGAGGATGTGACTGTCCTGGTGGACTACACAGTACGGAAGTTCTGTATCCAGCAGGTACTGTCTCCTACCTCCTTTTCAGTTCTTACGTAGGATTTGCTGACCACTAAGACAGAGAGAACAGGCTGAGTTATCCCCTCTCTTACTCAAGGTGGTCAGGAATTACTGAATGTGCAGTATGTTTGGATTCTGAAACCAGAGATCTATGTTCCAGGAAACTTCTCTATCAAAGCTAAGGGAGCAGGCCGGGCGCTGTGGCTCACGCCTGTAATCCTAGCTCTTGGGAGGCCGAGGCGGGCGGATTGCTCAAGGTCAGGAGTTCAAAACCAGCCTGAGCAAGAGCGAGACCCCGTCTCTACTATAAATAGAAAGAAATTAATTGGCCAACTGATATATATATAAAAAATTAGCCGGGCATGGTGGCGCATGCCTGTAGTCCCAGCTACCCGGGAGGCTGAGGCAGAAGGATCACTCGAGCCCAGGAGTTTGAGGTTGCTGTGAGCTAGGCTGACGCCACGGCACTCACTCTAGCCTAGGCAAGAAAGCGAGACTCTGTCTCAAAAAAAAAAAAAAAAAAAAAAAAAAAAAAAAAAAAAAAAAAAAAAGCTAAGGGAGCAGCATTTTCATGAGTAGCAAAAAAAAATACCATTTGAGATAGAGTATGATCATCTTAGATATGACCAAGTACTATGGAAAGAGAGCATCAGGAGGTGGAATAGTCTCCTAGGTGCTTCCTGCCCTCCTTTTCTACTCCACCTGCCCCTCTACTCACCTGCCCTCCTTTTCTACTCCAAAGGCTCCAGACATCAAGGATGTGGTGAGCCTGCTCCGGGCCCTCCAGAGCAACCCTGGAAGCCTGAGCAAAGGTCACCTTCAGCTGTGGGGCAGCATGGTGCTGTGAAAGGGACTTACTAAGACTCAGGAGCCCTGCATTTTAGCTGTGACCCTGCCATTTACTAGTTCTGAGACCTCGACCAGGTCATTTAAGTTCTCTTGAGTTTCACTTTCCACATTTGCAGGCCAAGAATAATAGTAATAGCCCTGCCTAATGCATGGGGTTACTGGGAAGATTCTCTGGCCATGGTTAACACTTCCCTGGGTACACTCTCACTTCCCCATTGTCACTAGCAGCCACACTGTTACCTCCCTGCCCTGGTGCTACCTACCCCTGGATATCAGGGCAACACACAGGATCTCACTCCACAGGTGGGCGACATGACGAACAGAAAGCCACAGCGCCTCATCACTCAGTTCCACTTTACCAGCTGGCCAGACTTTGGGGTGCCTTTCACCCCCATCGGTATGCTCAAGTTCCTCAAGAAGGTGAAGGCCTGTAACCCTCAGTATGCAGGGGCCATCGTGGTCCACTGCAGGTCAGTGTGGCTTGACCCCTTGGCTCCCCACATTCTGCCTCCATAGCGAAAATAAAGGAACAGCACAGGGGGCCCTGGCTGAGGGATCTGGCACAGAGCAGACGAGCTGTTGGGGCCCAAGGGCAGCAGTCAGACTCCTCAAGTTCTAGTGCTGGGTGGAGAATATGACTTGAGGAAAGAAGGAAGGGCAGTCCTCCAAGACTGTGAGAGGAGAGACCCTGCTGTGAAGCCAACAGTCTGGGTCAAGTGCTGGCCATGTATGCCTGCAGACCCTTCTGAGTATCCAGTTGTCCAGTTCTAATAGCTGGAGGTTAGGAGTTCACAGTGATGTTCTTGGCTCCACGAGAGCCCCAGCTCCGCCCCATTCAGAATTAGAATTTAGAGCCTAGGAAAAGTGCTCCCGCCTATGCTGCCCTGCCCCATCTGCCCCACAAGGCATGCTGGCTATCCTGGTAACACCCCTGCTCTCTGGCTGCAGTGCGGGTGTAGGACGTACAGGTACCTTTGTCGTCATTGATGCCATGCTGGACATGATGCATATGGAGCGGAAGGTGGACGTATATGGCTTTGTAAGCCGGATCCGGGCACAGCGCTGTCAGATGGTGCAAACAGACGTGAGTGATCTGTGGGTCAGGCGAGGGCGGGGGAATTCCAGGACCAAAACATCTGTCTGCATAGAGGATTCACTCAGTCTCCTGGGTTGTTGTAAATGATCACCATGTTGTGTGATGAAGGGCCCTTATAAATCATATAGTTAAAGAAACAGCACAGAGGAGGTTGTGGCTTTGTGCTTGGGAGAGTCAGGAAGGCAGAGTTCATGTTCACTGGACTTTAAGGGAACAGGCAACTGAGAGAGCCAGTGCCCACAAAATCATGACACAGCTCAGCCACAACTGGGAGCAGCAGCAAGATGGGCTCCGTGGTGAGGGCACAGCACCAGGAGGGAGGCTGGTGGGAGGCTGGGACCAGATTATGACAGGTTTTGTGCATCTCCAGTTTCTGAAGGCCCTTCAGACTGTTGAGTCTGCACTCTCAAAATAAGCAGTTGAGTTTGTCCTTCTCTGCAGGTTTCCAGCATCCCCAGAGTAGACTGGGAACCTCCCTCCCAAGCTAAGCACCCCCAAGAGGTACTCATGCATTTCATGTCCTGCTTCATTGAATTGGGGCAGTAAGAGGGAATCATTTTATCCCAGCTAGGATCAAAGGAGAAGTGGACTAGAGAGAAGTAGGGGTAAAAGGTGACCTGGCACAAGGACCATGCTGTGTGTGACTGAGAGCTGGGGCTCATCCTTGTTTCAGATGCAGTATGTCTTCATATACCAAGCCCTTCTGGAGCATTATCTCTATGGGGATACAGAACTGGAAGTGACCTCTCTAGAAACCCACCTGCAGAAAATTTACAACAAAATCCCAGGGACCAGCAATAATGGATTAGAGGAGGAGTTTAAGGTGAGTTGGAGCTGAGCAACCTTCAATTGAAGATCTGTGTGATATAGGCAATATGGGATGTTTGACTTCTTGTGCATTTACCAGCAGGTGATAAATTCCCTTGTGAGGCATACCATTGGTTAAGGAGCTGGCCCTCTCCTCATACACATCATTCTCAACCCATCCTGCATGTTGGAATCACTTGAGTTGTGTTAAGGGAGAAAAAAGAAACAGGCAATGATATTTTTTAGGCGACCCCCCTAGTCCCCCCAGGTGATCATAATGTACAGCAAGAGCAAAGTTTTTGTGTTGTAAGAGTCAGATAATAAATATTTTAGGCTTGGCAGGCCATATGGTCTCTGTCCCAACTACTTAATGCTGCCTTTGTAGTACAGAAGCAGCCATAGACAAATGAGCGTGGCTGTTTCAGTAAAACTTTATTTATAGGCAGCAGACTGGATTTGGCCTGTGTACCTTTGTTTGCTGACTACTGCTATGTGCCATTAGACAATGGCTCTCAACACACCTAAGGCATAAGTCATGCTCTCATCAATAAAAGTGCTCCCAGAAGCAAGAAATTCTGGGTTGCGGTGGGAAGGACCGCTTTCCTTAGAGCAGTCCTTGTCACACTATAGCATGTACACAGATTTCCTTGGGATCCTGTCAAAATGTAGGTTCTGATTGAGCAGGTCTGAGTTAGGGTCTGCATTTCTAACAAGATGAGGCCAGCGCTGATGTGTGGGCTACACTTAGAGAAGCACAGATCAAGAAGGAACCTCAGAATCGGGAAGGGAGCATGTACATCTGAGTAAATTTCTTTGAAGAGTCTAATACTGCCTCTGGGGCTGTCAGACAGCAGTGTAGGCACACTCCCTCCTATGGTACTGAGATCCTTGCTCTAGGATCACAAAGTTCCGGGCCAGGGGAATCCCAGAAGGGTCCATAGGAGCCTAGAAGGAAGTATTTCCCAAACACCTGTCTTCTTGGCTTGTTCACTAAGCATAAAGATAGAAGAAACAGGCCGGGCGCCGTGGCTCACGCCTGTCATCCTAGCACTCTAGGAGGCCGAGGCGGGCGGATTGCTCGAGGTCAGGAGTTCGAAACCAGCCTGAGCAAGAGCAAGACCCTGTCTCTACTATAAATAGAAAGAAATTAATTGGCCAACTAATATATATAGAAAAAATTAGCCGGGCATGGTGGTGCATGCCTGTAGTCTCAGCTACTCGGATGGCTGAGGCAGGAGGATTACTTGAGCCCAGAAGTTTGAGGTTGCTGTGAGCTAGGCTGACGCCACAGCACTCACTGTAGCCTGGGTCAAAAAAAAAAAAAAAAAATAGAAGAAACGATGTTCCAACAAGAATATGTGGAAATGGAGGTCAGAGCCAGAGTGGCCTGAAGGTACAGGCCCAGTGACAAGCATAATCTTGTCATGTCCAGTTACTGGGATCAGTGACATTTTCCTTCCCTTTCCTAATTCAGAAATTAACATCAATCAAAATCCAGAATGACAAGATGCGGACTGGAAACCTTCCAGCCAACATGAAGAAGAACCGGGTTTTACAGATCATTCCATGTAAGAGCCTTCTCCCCACCCCAAAGCCTATTGCCCCTCCCTCCCATCCCTCAATTCCTTCCACCCCTTCCACTTCTCAGGTACTAGTTAATGATTGACTTGGAGACAAGAATCATGGCATTGGCCTCTTATTGCTCCCAGTTCTTTAGTGGCTTCTGGAAATAAAAGACCATAAAAGCCAAAGGCTTTCTCCCTCCTGGGCTAAGAACAAGCATGTCCTTACCCTGCTGGAATTGTATGTGCCCAGGGCCTGGGGTGGGAGCAATGGAAGGAGAGGGAGAGGACAAGTGATATTGATGAGCCACAAGCCACTGTCCTTGCAGATGAATTCAACAGAGTGATCATTCCAGTTAAACGGGGAGAGGAGAACACAGACTATGTGAATGCGTCCTTCATTGATGTAAGTGGTGGGTTTGTCCCCTGAGCTCCCAACACCCCATGGAAATTCGGCCCTGGGGCTTTCAGTGCCTCCCTCACATACCTGCTTGAGAGGATCCTCTTTGAGACAGTCAACAATTACTAACTGATATCTACCTGCCCACCCTGCACAGTAGGTCTGTCCAGCCCCAAAGAGCAGAAGATGGGGGGAAACAAAGAGCATGCACCAGTCTGATTCCTGGAAGAAAAAGTTCCCAGCACAGACCACAGCCAAGAGGCTGAAAAACTGAGTTCTGATCTTTCCTATTCCTGCTCTCTTCATCCTAGCTCCATTCTCCTTCCCTATCCCTGACAGAAGTGGAGCAGCTTGTTAGACAGGGGGAGCTCTGCCTGAGATGGGTTCTCATCCAAGTGGCTCCCATTCCTTCCTAGTGGCCTGTCTCACTGATTCTGAGACAAGCCTATCTTCTCCACTAACCCATTCCTGATTAAAACATCTCACCCCTATAATTGATATGGCCTGTATAGGGCTACCGGCAGAAGGACTCCTACATCGCCAGCCAGGGCCCTCTTCTCCACACAATTGAAGACTTCTGGCGAATGATCTGGGAGTGGAAATCCTGCTCCATAGTGATGCTAACAGAACTGGAGGAGAGAGGCCAGGTGAGCTCAAAAGGGTCCTGGGCTATGGGAGACAGAGACAGAATGAAAAGGAGGAAGGTGTAAATGAGGAGGTGGTGGGAACTAGAAGGTATGTTTGGACCTTTTCTTTGACTTACACTATCCAAAGAGCCATTTCCAGTCATTATTGCCCAGCCAGTTGGTGTTTGAGCAGTCATTAGCTTCTCCCAGGAATGGAAAAGCAATACAGTCTGAGCCTCCATTTGATTCCTAGATAGTTCACAGCCTTTCACTTTTCTCCTGAATACAGTCCCCCCTAGACTAGCTTTTGTACATGCCCTCTCCCCTCCACCTCCCCAGGCAGGGCAGCGCTAGCAGGATAAGGGTTACAGAGCCAGACCAAGGCTCTGAGGTGTAGTCCTAGTGAGTGTATGTGAGGAGGGTTGCATCTTTGCTAACTACACAAAAGAAAGCAATAGAATTTAAGAAAAAAAAATTACAATTTAATATTCAATAACAAGGAAATATTTTAAGAAAAAGGCCCACAAGTCCAATTTTAAACAGTTGCATTATCTGGGAACTCTGATTAAAAAGGGACCTTAGAGGCCCCCCTAGGTCAGCTCCCACCTAGTATAGGAAGCCTCTTAACATTGTTCCTGAATCAGAATCTTGCAGCCTCTACCAAGGACATTCAATCTCTGGGATATCTCCCTTACCCCCATATTACTGGGTAGCCCAGTCTGTGTTGTGACATTCTGACAGTGCTTATTTTTTTTTTTTTAATTTTTTTTTTTTTTTTATGACAGGGTCTCATTGTGTCACCCAGGCTGGAGTGCAGTGGTGCAATCATAGCTCACTGCCTCCAAGTGCTAGGCTCAAGGATCTGCCTAAGGCTCCTAAGTAGCTGGCATTACAGGTACATGCCACAATGCCTGACTAATTTTTGTAATTCTTTTTTTCTTTTTTTTTTTTGAGACAGAGTCTCACTCTGTTGCCAGGCTAGAGTGCTGTGGCTAGCCTAGCTCATAGTAACCTCAAACTCCTGGGATCAAGCAGTCCTTCTGCCTCAGCCTCCCAAGTAGCTGGGACTACAGGCATGCGCCACCATGCCCGGCTAATTTTTTGTATGTATATTTTTAGTTCGCCAATTAATCTCTTTCTATTTATAGTAGAGATGGGGTCTTGCTCTCGCTCAGGCTGGTTTCAAACTCCTGACCTTGAGCGATCCGCCCGCTTAGGCCTCCCAGAGTGCTAGGATTACAGGCATGAGCCACCGCGCCTGGCCTGTAATTCTTTTATAGAGACAGGATCTTGCTGTGTTGCCCATGCTAGTCTCTAGCTCCTGGCCTTAGGCAGTCCTCCTGCCTCATAGGCATGAGCCACCATGCTCAGCCCATTGCTTATTCTTTTAAAACTCTTTCTGTTGAGGTTTCACATTATAGTAAACAGGTGGTTCATTGTGCCTAGAGCATTACTTAACAGGGATCAGATTATCAAGAAAATGAGCCAGGAGAATCTAGCAAGGTCTAGTGAGAAAGTTCCTTCTAAGCCATAGTAAAGAGGTTTTTTTGACTTCATAAAGCAGTTAAAAAGCCCTTTACAATATGTGATTTGTGTGTTTTTAAAACTTCCTCTGGCTGCAGTGAGGAGGACGTATTAGAAATGAGCAAGCCAGAAGCAGAGAGGAAGACTATGACAGCATTGCTGGTGGTGAGGGGCTGCCACCAAGAGAGTGAGAGTGTGAATTAAGCATGGCACCTACTCATGACTCATTGAATTTGTAGTTAATTAAAAATACAAAAAGTTAAATACAAAAGTTAATTAAAATACAAAATATGTTTTACATTAGTTATCCTAACTCATTAGTTCTCCATTCTGTACTTGTACAGTTTATTTATTTTAACTTTGATACAAGGCTTTACATATACTTGGTCACCCTGATATTTTGTCAAGACTTTTTTCAGTTTCAGTCATTTAATTCATTAGCTATTCTCCTAGACTTGTATCTTATACCTAATCGACAGACATACTTGAAGGCCTTTATCATTCACAGCAATACTGATGAGGTAGGAGGTTTGGTTAAAGTCTTTAGCTTTTTGCTCAGGAAAGCATACACCCAGTAACAAAGGCCCATTGGGAAATGTGCCTCTGTTCTCAGCAGCATGGTGCATGTTTGCTAGCCCTCTCTCACCAGCCACAATGGAACGTGCAGATTAGACCAGGGCCCTACATGTGGTCCTTCCTTTCCCCCCACCCTAGTCCGCATCCCCAGATCTGTGATGGGCAGGACTGAAGAGCATTAGAGGAACTGGAACAGTGAGCACAAGGATCGTCTCTCGGTCCATTGCCCTATCATAAAACGTGGCCCAGTGAACACCTGTGACTCCATCTAATCAGACTCAGGCTCTTCCATCCTTGAAGAGTAAAGGGTGGGAGGGGCAGGAGCATTGCATATGGGGAGCAGGGGGTGAAGGGTTGTGCACACACACATTCTCCTGCCTGTTGGCCAGGCCTGCCATCAGTTGATTAAGGCCGATTCCCCTTTACCCTACTGCCTTATGCCTCCGTCTTCCCAGGGCCAGTGAAGCAGGCAGAAACTCTTATCCTCAGAAGCTTCTGAATGGATCAGAAAAGGATATTAGTGAAATTCTTTTTGTTTTCTTTCTTTTTTTTTTTTTTTTGAGACAGAGTGAGTGCCGTGGCGTCAGCCTAGCTCACAGCAACCTCAAACTCCTGGGCTCAAGCAATCCTCCTGCCTCAGCCTCCCGAGTAGCTGGGACTACAGGCACGAGCCACCATGCCCGGCTGATTTTTATATTATATATATTAGTTGGCCAATTAATTTCTTTCTATTTTTATGGTAGAGACGGGGTCTCGCTCAGGCTGGTTTTGAACTCCTGACCTTGAGCAATCCGCCCGCCTCGGCCTCCCAGAGTGCTAGGATTACAGGCGTGAGCCACCGCGCCCGGCTGTTTTCTTTTTTTAAAAGATGGAGTCATCTTATATTACCCAGGCTGGAATATAGTAGCTATTCACAGGCGTGATCATAGCTCAGTGCAGCCTCAAACTCTTGGGCTCAAGCGATACTTCTGCCTCAGTCTCCCGAGTAGCTGGGACTACAGGCATGCACTAACACACCCGGCTAAGTAATATTCTTTATGAGGCCTCACTGGCCCCCAAGACAAAATTTTACTTTCTGCTCCATTTCCCATTCATGTTGTCAAGTATAGCTCTTGGAGATGGTAACATAGTAAACCTAAATGATACATTGAAAAGTGCCTACATTTATACAAAGTGACACTACCACTCCTCACCTTGCAGTATCAAACTCCCACAGGAAAAAAATCTTACCCCAAAATATAAACTCTGTACCTATATAAATTAATATGTCAGAGGAATTAAAACTTAAAATTCTCTTCTCCCCATTTTCTCCTTCTGCTCCATCTTAAGCTTGATAAGTCCTGGGTTTGCTCAACAGCTGTAGCTGTTGGGCAGAGCCATGGGAGCAGCTCCTGAGCTGGGTCTGCCAAACCCAAAGCTGCATTCTGCTTCTCCAAAGCATCAGTCGAACATGGTAGCATCAGTCACTTGCCCACAAAGCTGTTTGTCCTCAACACCATTGTCCATGTCAGACCATACAGGAGACTTAGTGCTGTCTGGGGGAAGGAGGGTAAACAAAGACAGCAGGAGAAAACACAGAAAAGCTTCACTGTTTCAGCTTCTTTAGGATGCCATTATCCACAGTTCATAATCTGAAGGCAAATCAGAGATTAAACTCGAGTTCTTAAGCTTGCTTTTGTTTTTTGGTTTTTGTTTTTGTCTTTGTTTTTGTTTTTCTGAGACAATGTCTCACTGTGTCACCCAGGCTGGAGTTCAGTGACAGGATCATAGATCACTGCAGCCTTGAACTCCTGGGCTCAAGAGATCCTCTCCCCTAAGCCTTCCCAGTAGCTGGGACTACAGGTGCACTCCAGCATGCCTGGCTAACTTTTTAATTTTTTGTAGAGTTGAGGTCTTGAAATGTTGCCCACGCTGGTCTCAAACTGCAGGCCTCAAGCAGTCCTCCTGCCTCAGCCTCCCAAAGTGCTGGGATTACAGGTGTGAGCCACCATGCCTGGCCTAAAATAGACTTTCACTAGTGATTTTATTTGGACTATGAGACTATTAGAAATTTTTTTTGTACTTTTTTTTTTTTTTTTTGAGACAGAGTCTCACTTTGTTGCCTGGGCTAGAGTGGCGTCAGCCTAGCTCATAGCAACCTCAAACTCCTGGGCTCGAGCAATCCTTCTACCTCAGCCTCCCAAGTAGCTGGGACTATAGGCACGTGCCACCATGCCCAGCTAATTTCTTTTCTATATATTTTTAGTTGGCCAATTAATTTCTTTCTATTTATAATAGAGACGAGGTCTCGCTCTTGCTCAGGCTGGTTTTGAACTCCTGACCTTGAGTGATCCACCCGCCTCGGCCTCCCAGAGTGCTAGGATTACAGGTGTGAGCCACCACACCTGGCCTACTTTTCTTAATTTTTTCCAAATCTCTTATAATGAACATATAGTACATGCATGGTTGAGAACTTGTAAATTGCTAAAAGCAAAAAATTTCAGATCTTACCCCAAAATGCTCTAAAGAAATGGACAGTATAACAATTTTGTTTTATTTATATATTTATGCCTTGGCTTTTTCTGCAGACATTGAACAAATTCATTTACCAGATACTTACCAAGAGCCTACTGTATGCCAGGCATTGTACAAGGTCCTGGGAATACAAGGATGAAAAGGGATACACCCCTTCCCCACAGGAGCTATAGTGGAAGTCGAGCCAGGGGCGAGCAAGAACAGACAGTAAACTATCTCCTGCTCACTAGCAAGGACAGAAAGGCAAGTGCTAGCGACTCTAAGGTACATTGCAGATTAAAGAGATGAAGGGAAAGGACCAAAGGGTACTGTGGACTGGGCTGTGGTAAAGCACCATGGCTGGGTGAATGTGGGTTGGTTTTTCTGGATTAGCAGTCTGACAGATGGAAGCAGCTGTAAAATGCAGAAACACTCCAAGGCAGGGGGCTATGGATTGGAACAGAGACTTTCCTTCCTCCTCCACTTCCCCCTCCTCTTTCCCCCCCCTCCTCCTCCTCCTCTCCTTCCTTCAGCCTCTGAGTGTTGGATACCTTGTGAGCCATAGTCAGAGTTCTTTACAGATCCTGTCAGTGTTGCAAATGTTCTCTGGTAAGGATTGAAAGTTAATTGGAGGCCAGGGGCGGTGGCTCACACCAGTAATCCTAGCACTCTGGGAGGCGGAGGCAGGCGGATTGCTCGAGGTCAGGAGTTCGAAACCAGCCTGAACAAGAGTCTCTACTATAAATAGAAAGAAATTAATTGACCAACTAAAAATATACATACAAAAAATTACCCGGGCATGGTGGCGCATGCCTGTAGTCCCAGCTACTCAGGAGACTGAGGCAGAAGGATTGCTTGAGCCCAGGAGTTTGAGGTTGCTGTGAGCTAGGCTGACGCCGTGGCACTCACTCTAGCCTGGGCAACAAAGTGAGACTGTGTCTCAAAAAAAAGAAAGTTAACTGGAATGTGAAGGAATGTAATAATCCTCTGAGTTTTCAATACCTTAGAGATGGAGTGTGTCAGAGTAAGAATGGCTGTACTGAGAGAGGGGCCAGGCTGCTCTTGGGGCAGTGCTGCCTCTGCCACATACAGTATCTGAGCCCCTCACCTCTCCCATTTGCCCTCCAGGAGAAGTGTGCCCAGTACTGGCCATCTGATGGACTGGTGTCCTATGGGGACATCACTGTGGAGCTGAAGAAGGAGGAGGAATGTGAGAGTTACACCGTCCGAGACCTCCTGGTCACCAACACCAGGGTAAGGTGGGTGGTGGGTAGACCTCTCCCACAGGGAGAGCAGGGCTGCGCCTGCCTTCCTGATCCCCCTTCCTCCAAAGGAGAACAAGAGCCGACAGATCCGGCAATTCCACTTCCATGGCTGGCCTGAAGTGGGCATCCCCAGCGACGGCAAGGGCATGATCAGCATCATCGCGGCCGTGCAGAAGCAGCAGCAGCAGTCAGGGAACCACCCCATCACTGTACACTGCAGGTACAGCTCACCCCAGCCTGTCAGGGGGGCAGGGAAGCAAGGACAGGCAGATGGGGGCAGCAGTGAGTGTGTGTTAGACCAAGAGGAAAGGCAGACAAGAGCAGGATGCTGGTGAACACATGGCAGTTAAGCTTGATCAAGGCAGGGCCAGATGATAGGAGAGGACCTTGGAGTTTGAATTTGGCACAAGAAGTGCTAGGGACTAATAATGTCAGATACTGAGCAGGGGAGTATATAGGGCAGGTATGGGGTGCAGGAAAGCAGCAGGTAAGATGACCAGTGGAGCCACCAGACAGGCTGTATGGGGGGTGAGGGCCTGGCCTCCTTAAGGAGCAGGAAAAGAGAAAAGGGCAATTATTTTAAAAACAGTATGAGGAGCCGGGCGCGGTGGCTCACACCTGTAATCCTAGCTCTCTGGGAGGCTGAGGCGGGCGGATTGCTCGAGGTCAGGAGTTCAAAACCAGCCTGAGCAAGAGCGAGACCCCGTCTCTACTATAAATAGAAAGAAATTAATTGGCCAACTAATATATATATTAAAAAAAAAAAATTAGCCGGGCATGGTGGCACATGCCTGTAGTCCCAGCTACTTGGGAGGCTGAGGCAGGAGGATCGCTTGAGCCCAGGAGTTTGAGGTTGCTGTGAGCTAGGCTGACGCCACGGCACTCACTCTAGCCTAGGCAACAAAGCGAGACTCTGTCTCAAAAAAAAACACAACAGTATGAGGAAAAATGAACAAGACTAAGAACATAGGGTGAAAGAGGAGAGGAGTCAGGAGGCCTCCCAGGTTTGAGCCTTGGTTGCTGATAATGTTTGATGTGACCAACAGAAGAAAGATGGTAAGGAGACTTGTTTGGTGGGGGGCAAGGTAAATTTTGTTTAGGGCATGTTGTTCAAGATTGCAGATTAGAAGAAATATACTCCTTTACTTAGAATCCTAACAGTGGCTAATAAGGCCCAATGTGATGTGAGGGCTCCCTGCCCAGCTCAGGCAGGGGCTGCAGCAGGGGCTGACCTCCCGAGGGCTTTGACCTCACCCCCACCACTCTCCTTCCTTCCATCATCAGATCTAGCTGTGTGCCCTTCAGCCCCCCAGGCACAGTCCTGTGTGGACCTGAGATGCTGCTTTCCCAGACAGCCTAGGGCTTCCCCCCGAGCCTTCCCTGAGCACCCTGCCTAGAACCCCACAGTCCCTGCCTCGGAGCAGGCACTCAGTAAGTGTCTAGTGAGTGAATCAGCTGATGATGCTGAACAGAGGGATGATGTCTGGATTCCTTGAATTTTGGAAGAAAATGAGAGAGATGGCAGAGAATTAGCAGACAAACCAGTGCAGAGGGGCAGGAAGCGTTTGTCAAAGGAAGGAAAAGACAGGACTAGAACCAGTTCCAACCTCAGCAAGCAGAGGTCAGGGCAACCCAGGCACATTTGTAGGTGGGCAGCAAAGGCTTAGTGCTGGTGGGGTGTGAGGGAGGGTCATCCCCGTGGTCCCATGGGTGAGTCCCTCTGCAGGCACGTGGGCTGTGCAGGAGGGGCACAGAGTACACATCTCCCCAGAGCTGTGCTCTCACAGGGCTCCTCCAGGCTGGGTGGGTCAACAGGGCAGAGGTGAGCATGGCCTCCTGCCCCATCCCCACCCCAAGAGTCCCTTTGGATTACAGACCCTCGCTGCAGCACCACCCTGGGCCTTTGTCTGCTCTTTGCCACTGTCCCTCACCCCCTTGGCACAGAGGGCCATCACAGGTGTGTTAAGCGTATCTGTTCTGTTGCAGCGCCGGGGCAGGAAGGACAGGGACCTTCTGTGCCCTAAGCACCGTCCTGGAGCGTGTGAAAGCGGAGGGGATTTTGGATGTCTTCCAGACCGTTAAGAGCCTGAGGCTGCAGAGGCCACACATGGTCCAGACACTGGTATGCTGCCCATGTACCTGTCCATGTCCCAAAACCATCTGCAGCCCTTCTCTGTCAGGACCAGCACAGGGAGGAGGCTCTTCAGAGGCGCCCACCTACTAGTCAAAAAACTGCCTAACCACAGACCCCCTCGTCCCGAGGTGCCCCCGACAGGAAGCACCTTGGGAGGCAGGATGGCAGCAGGAATGTAGCCCCCGTCCCCAGAGGATGTGACAGGTTGGAAAGGAGTGGCTGGGTACCCCACAGGGCTTGTCTGCACTTCTCCATGGGTCCTGGGTAGGGATGACCCAGGGGTACCTGCCTTTGTTATGCTTGGGCTCCCTGTTAAGAGACTCTTAAGCTGAACATCCACAGAGGTTTTCCTGAATCCCATGATGCTAGAAAAGTTTCAGAGGGAAAGAAAAGTGGATGTTAAGAGATTTGGGAGAATATGAGGCTTTGAGAGCCAGGGCACATCCTAACCTGACAGCCGTGGTAAGTAAGGCCACACCGTCTCCCAGCCCAGCAAACTCACGTCTCACCTCTGCAAGGCCTAGGACGCCCCTCATCAGCTCTGCTTGTGGAAGGCCCTCTGCACTCAGCGCAGAAGGGGAATGCTGTCTGAACTCTGGCAGACAGATCAGGGCTCAGGTGGAAGTCCATAAACATTCCCTCTCAGTTTTCCATTTTCAAAAAACATGGGTCTATTAGGAACTATGGGTACAGCATTCTTTTCAGTAACCCTGGCTTTTTCCCCACCTTTCACTCTCCAGGAACAGTATGAGTTCTGCTATAAGGTGGTGCAGGAATACATTGACGCATTCTCAGATTATGCCAACTTCAAGTAGGAGGCGACAAGGCCCCACAGACCAGGAGGATTGCCTTTAATATTTTGTAATATTATGTTTTGTTAATATACCCCAAATTGTGTATATATCTTATAACTGTTTTAGAAATTGGTACATAGGCTTCTATTACCTATTAGGTGGAGATTTTATATGTAAATGTGTTAGCACTGATAGTCCTTTTTCCAATGTTTTATTGGGGAATTAAATAGTGTGATGTTTGGATTGATATCGTGAAATCATCGGCCTGGAAATTGGGCTAGATTGTTCTTTGCTTAATACATCTTTTCCTAAAACAGATAACACACAAAATCCATTCCAGGTAGCTCAGCACCAACTAAGAAAAAAAAGCACAAAGTTCTCAGAGCTCTTGAGGAACGTGGTTGTCCCTGTACCACCATGCACTGTAAATATCCCTCCCTCCACCCCACCCCTGCCCCCACCACCACCATCGTGGGGAATGACGGGACCAGAGCGATATCTCTGGCACCACACTAGGGACTATCAGATAATAAAAGCTTTGACTCCCTGAGGAAATGTCTCTCCCTTTGTCTGGGCTGGGCAGTCATGCAGGGATCGGGCTCCTGGGCTACTCCTGGCCCTGCTGTTGCTGTTCCCTCAGCTGGCCTTGAGAGGCCACAGTCCCCAGGCTCCTCCTGTCTACCAGCTCTTAGGTCATCACCGAGACCTTCCTTTCATTCCCAGCACATCTTTGGTGGAGTGGTCCCAGCCAGCCTTGCTCCTGTGTCCTCACTGAGTCTCCCTGAGTGCAGGGGCACAGTGGGGAGAGGAACTGGCTCAGCCTTGGGGCCAAGGCCAATCTGACCTCTCCAGTCCTTGTTGCTTTGCTGCAGAGCTGTCTGGATTGTGTCACTCTGTGCGGGATAATTTTTTATGTCCACATGTATTGTGTGAAATTGCTCCCATTTTCTTTCATATGTGTCCTTATTTCCAGGACTTTTATATGGAAGTGTCTCAGATCCAGAAACCAGCATGGTGGGAGTCTTAGATCCCAACTTGATTTTGAGCCTAACATTTTAGACAAAAGTGTCAAACTTTTGTGTCTTAAAGAAGATGGATGTTCATTTATTTCTCATATAACGGTCTTTCCTGCCCAGACACCCAGGATCTTATCATCTGCTGGCCCCAGTATCCTCAGGGTATTTCTCTCATCCTCATGATTGAAGCTGGGTCATTGCCACATCTATATTCCAAACTGGAATGGGGAAAGAGCATGAGGAGCAGCGAGTAACTTCATTTTTAAGGACATAAAGCTAAATCTGCCCTTCTCCTTTGCATTTGTACCCCACTGACTGCGTGACTAGGTTTTATCCTATCCTTAGCTACACCTAACTACAGGGGGTGCTGGGAAATGTGGTCTTTAGTTGGGCGTACAGCTAGGAGGGTGGGTCTGTCTACTGCCTCCCAGCCTCATGAGCAGCTCCTCACAGGAGAGGAGAGGAACTGGTTGCCATGGCCGTCAGGCAGAGCTGAAGGAGCCTGTGGTCCCTGGGCCTTTCTTAAGGAGCCAGCACAGATCTCAGACTCCAGAGGCTTCAGGAGTGAGAAGTGGCACCCAGCCTGCCATGGAGGCACAGTCCGAGGTCAGTGCTGCCGTGCTGCTTGGAAGGGGTGAGACTTGAACTGGACCCATAGGCTGCTGGAAATTTAGATGAGTAAAAAGGAGAAAAGGCCAAGTGGAGCCATAATACAGAGGGTTTCAGGGTCCAGGCAAAGTAGTTGACATGCAGTAGCTCCAAGAAGGGATCTTGGTCGTGTACCACGTATCCCGGATGTTTGCGTGAAGGAAGGAGAATGTGGAAGAGACCCAGAAGGCCCATGGGAGGCAGGGCGCTACAACAGACCACGCTGGAAGCTTGCAAGAGATAAGCATAAGTTGTTAGAAGCATTTGGTCCTTCTCGAGGAACTGAGGAACTCCAAGAGGCAGGAAACTCAAAACTCAGTAGTTTCAGAATAGGCATGGATAAATTTAGCAAAGATAGAATCTGAGGAATTTCTGGTGAAGGATGCCAACTTTGGGGAGGAGACCCTGATTCCTTGAAAGCTGCCCTGCAGTACCTCCATGTGACCAGGTCCAGGCAGATGGCTGGCAGCCAGGCAGGCACTGGGTCAGCAAATTATTCAGTGAATTTGCAGGTGAGGCCACCCACAGGCCCCTGTGCTGCCTGCCCCACCTACCAGCAGGCTGCCTTGCCTCCTTTTGGTAGGGCTGGCCTTGAGTGGGTACGCCAGTGTGGCCTAGCTGGTTTTCTGCTGAAGCCCATGCTGATTTAATCAGCAGCTGGGCCAATATTTTAAATGCCACTTGGTTGCTAAACCGATGTCGTCAAACAAGAATTACCTCAGCTCTTTGCTCCTCTTTTTTTTTTTTTTTTGAGACAGAGTCTCGCTTTGTTGCCTAGGCTAGAGTGAGTGCCGTGGCGTCAGCCTAGCTCACAGCAACCTCAAACTCCTGGGCTCAAGTGATCCTTCTGTCTCAGCCTCCCAAGTAGCTGGGACTTACAGGCATGAGCCACCATGCCCGGCTAATTTTTTCTATATATATTAGTTGGCCAATTAGTTTCTTTCTATTTATAGTAGAGACGGGGTCTCGCTCTTGCTCAGGCTGGTTTTGAACTCCCGACCTCGAGCAATCCGCCCGCCTCGGCCTCCCAGAGAGCTAGGATTACAGGCGTGAGCCACCGCGCCCGGCCTCTTTGCTCCTCTTGTCTCCTCAGCTTACAGTTGTATCCCCATCCCTTCATCCCTCCCTCTTCACTCATTTCTTACTTTCTACTCTGGGTTTGCTTTGTTGAAAGACATAAACCTGACAGGAGCTAGTGTAGGCCAGAAGGAAAGTGCACTGGGGCACACAGCACAATGGTGTGGGAAGAGCAGGGCTGTCACTCATCCAGTGCCCACCTGCAGCTGGCCAGCTGCAACCTGGGGAGGTTGGGGTAGGGACCAATGTTTCTCCCAAGGGGAAGCGGGACAACCATGCCCACCACACCAAAAGCTCTGGGTCCTGCTACACTTGGGACCTCACTTCATCCAGTCAGCTCTTTCCTGGGTTTCAGTTTCTTTCATCACCCTCCTTCCCAAATACTCAAATCTCTTTCATTAAATAAAGAGCATTTCCCCCCTGGCCCAAGTTCTTCCACCTTTATGACAGACTTGAAAAAGTCTCTCACTTTCCCTCCTCCTCACTTCATTCCCACATGGTCCTTTTTTTCATTTCTGCTGGCCAAGGTGGCCTGGTGCTAGCCCCAGGGATCTACTGTCTCCTGTCTGTGGTGTTAGGGACTCTGCTAACCTTCATTCTGCTCCTCCACTATCTCCTTCCTCAAAGGATGGGACTCTGGGCCTGTCTGTGAGCCCCTTAGCTCTCCAGCCCCGAGCTCCCCAGTCCTGGGTCATGTATTGTGTTTCCTTCGGAGTGACACCATGGGGTGGCCAAGAGGCACCTGTCTCCCACGCCCTGGGGCCCACCATCATTTCCTCCAGGCCCACAGATCCTCCAGCAGCTCCCGTTGGCCCTTCTTTGTTTTGTTCCTTACTGGGGCATCCCACTGCTACCATCCCTGCTTCCACAACTCTAGCTAATTCCTTATCCTGCACCCTGGGCCACCTGCTCGGGGTTTGTGCCCCTCTGTGCGCCTGCAGCACTTGAGTGTCCATTCAGCTCAAAACCTCTGCTTTCCCAACAAACACCAAGCAACTCCCAGCTGGAACAACTCCATATCCTCAGGACCCAGCATTGGGTGGAGCTTAGTGGTGAACAGAGGCTTTCTGTGTCCTAATGACAGGGATAACAGGATGAATTCCAGAACTGGTAGTCTGGAAAGAACATATAACATTTCTCAAAAGGCAAGTGTGTTGCCAGAAGGGGACCAGAGTTTTCCTTGAGAAGCTTAGTTCTGATTTGGATTTTGCAGGAAAAACCATAATCAAAATGCATAATAAAAAACCACCTCATTCCTGTTTTAAAGTAAACGCCATGGTCTTCGAATAAAACATTCTGTAAACCCAAACCAGAACTAAGCTAGTTTATTGAACTAAGAGTCATCTTCACTAAACCACAAAGCTAATGTTTTCCTAAAAATCACCCAGTTAACAAAATGTATATATTTCCCAAAACAATGTAAATGAACATAAATTCACATATTTGTTTCTGGTTCCTGCTAATAATTTCCAATCATAAATGTATAATCTGATAGTGTGCCCATTCTGCCTCGGCAGCTGAACCCTGGTGCCCAGGCCTGACTGGTGCCCGTTACGCCCCCCCACCATCTTCAACACAGGATTTGCTGCACCTGCTTTCCAATGACTCTGGTCACCAGCATGCCAAGCCTGACCTGGCCCAAATGTAGAGATTGGCTATTAATGCTCTGTTCAGGCCTCTGATCCCTGGAGGCTGGTGGCTGGTGCTGAAAGCTGAGCTGCTGATATAGACTGGGACACAGGAGCACGTTTCAAGCAACCCAGGCTAGCTGTCCAAATCCACGAAAGGTCCTGTGCTCAGCACAGAATGGGGACAAAATTAGCCCTACAGTGGCTGCACTGCCCCCTCAGCATGGGGTTTGCTGCTTGGAGAGGAGAGCCCACTCCTGGGTAGGTACTGCCCCACCCAAACCCACCTCCATCGGGACTGATCCAGCCCTGGTGCCCAGAGGTGTGGATGTGAATTGTTCCTCCCAACCTGTTTTACAGGAGAACAAATGGAAGCTCTCGGGGAGGGTGGTCACAGTGTCCCCAACACCTCTGAACAGCTGCTGGGCTCTCCACTCTTAGGCCCCCACTTTCCCACTGAGGAAAGCCCTGAGCTATGTGGAAGTTAGAATCCTCAGGCCTTGCCTGTCTCTAGGCCACGGTTTCCTTTTGGGGTCAGGGAGGCCTCTGAGGGCTTAGGCTTCAAGAGCGGAAGCTGAATACAGCCTAGGAAGTGGGAAGATGAGACCAGGACCTGGGCCAGCCTGGAGCGGGAATGCTGTGACTGGAGGCCCCTGGGAAGATTGGTGGGAGGAACAACTGTCTGGTGACCTCAGGGCCAGCAGCTGCCTAGTGTACATTCATGGAGTGGATGCTGTGGGAAGGGGTTGGGTAGCAAGCTGCTCTGCCTCCCCTCTCCCCAGACATAACTGGAGTCTGTGGGCCAAGAGTGGGGGTGGTAGGGGTGGAGCTGTCGGCCTAGGGTTCTGCAGCTGCCTGAAGAAGCCACTTCCTGTACAGTTCTCCCTCTGAGTAGGGAGGCTGGCCTCCCTAAGGGCTAGGGCCTGGGATCCAGCTCCATCTGGGTGCATGCTGCACTGCCCCTCCTCCCCTGAACCATGCCTAGAAAAGCCCCCTTTCCCTCCTCTCTCCCCAACAACTCCACTATCTATCCCTGTGCTCGCTGCTTCTGGCAGGAGAGGGACAAGAGGCAGAAGTACCTGCTCCCCTCACCACCACACATCCATTCCACATCCCAGCCACAGTGGAAGAGAGAGGGCAGGCCGCTCTGGTTCCCTAGCACCTGGTACTCCAGATACCCCACACTGCAGCCTGTCTCATGCAGAACTCCCCTGACCACCCATCCATCCATCCACAACCCATTGGCCTAAAGTCTCTGTCCCTCTCTCCAATCTTCCACTTCTGAAACTTCCTGAAGGAAGAAGGGTGGGCCTGGCCAACAGGGAGGGCTTCGGAGCTGACAGGGTGGGGTAGCCTCTGTGTCCCAGTGCTCCAGGAGAAGGCTGGTCCCCTGGAGCATCATCCCTTGGGCTGGGCCAGGATTCCTCAGGGTCTAGACACCTAGGATGAGGGGCAGTAGCAAAGAGAGAAGGGCATTAGGAGACACTAAAGTGGCCCCTGAGAGGCCAGTTGCCCAAAGTGGGCCTGGAGGAACAGGAAGGGTGTATGTGGGAGTGTCAGACTCCTTAAGTGCTGTCCACTGTCCAGGAGAGCAGCCCTGCCATGGCCAGCTCCAGGCTAAGCCTGGTGGTGCTGCTGCTGCCCGCCCTGAACCCTTGAAGGCTCAGCACTGGTCCCATGGCTGGTACCCTGGAAGAAAGCAGTTCATCCCAAGACCCCCAGAATGCCCTTAGGACCCCAGGTGAGTGATGGGGCTCCTCAGCCTGAGTAGAAGGAAGAAGTTACTGGCTGGGTTCCTCCACTTACCCTGGGCCTGAAGTTGGGGTAAGGAGGGCAGCCTGCAGCTTTGGTTCCCTTCTGAAAAAGGATTCTGGGCACTGCAGCAGGCAGCCCAGCCCAGACTGCCTGTAGCCTCCCAAGCGATACCCTGACTTCCCTCAAAGACAGAGTGCCCTGGGAGGGCAGGACCATGACCCAGTGGTGGTTCAAACCGCCAGGAAGCAGCACCTGCTACAGATACTGCTGGTAAGTGGGGTGAGAGGCCCCCACCATTCAAGACCAGTCACTGGTCACCAGTGGCCAAGGTGGCTAAGGGCTGGGGGCTGTGAGGGGTAGAATGAGACACCACTGGGATGCCCCCTGCCACAGCACCCCAGCTGTCTCTGCCCCTACACACACAGCAGGGTGCCATCTGTTAACCTTCCTATTTCCCAGAATTCTGGGACAATTTATAAAATACTTAGGTTAAAGTAAAAGATTGAAGTCACTAGTGAGGTAGGAGATAATTGTAGTAGAAAGCTCCATTAAGAAGGCAATGGGCCCAGGCGTGGTGGCTCACACCTGTAATCCTAGCTCTCTGGGAGCCCGAGGCAGGAGGATCGCTCAAGGTCAGGAGTTCAAAACCAGCCTGAGCAAGAGCGAGAGCCCGTCTCTACTTCAAATAGAAAGAAATTAGCTGGACAACTAAAAATATATATAGAAAAAATTAGGCGGGCATGGTGGCGCATGCCTGTAGTCTCAGCTACTTGGGAGGCTGAGGCAGCAGGATTGCTTGAGCCCAGGAGTTTGAGGTTGCTGTGAGTTAGGCTGACGCCAAGGCACTACTCTAGCCCAGGCAACAGAGCAAGACTCTGTCTCAAAAAAAAAAAAGAAGGCAATGGTAGCCATAGAGTCCCACAGGCATCTTGACAGCCAATGTGTCTCAAAGTGAGCCAGCTCCTGGCCAGTGGAAAGAGGTGAGGGGTGCAACCTCACAAATAAGCAGCAGGCCCCAGAGGACCCGGTGGTTACTGCTGTGCACTAGGAAGGACTCAGTGACTGCAGAGCTCCCCCAAGACAGATGTAGGGAAATGGTTTGTTACTGTTTTGCAAATGGAACATCTAAAGTGCATCAGGGAAGCACTATATATAACTAGAGGAGAAAAGGTAAGTTCCTATGAGGCAAAGCCTTACTGCCTAACTTAAGTGGGCGTGAGCTCAGGTCTTTATGAATCAGGCTTGTTTAGGGTGGACAAGGCCAAATGCCCAGGAAGCTGGAGACCCCCACGCTGTCTGTGTCCTCAGGCTCGCGGGGCGGGGGTGGAGGAGAGCCCCTGCTCCAGGGGATGGGAAGGTCATGGCTCAGCGCTCATGTGATCAGAATGTCACGAGGCATAATGCCCCTCTGCCTCTGCAGGCTCCGCGACTGCTGCCCTCCAATAAAAGTGTAAGGTCCCCGAAACTGTTGCCTCGAGTTCTCTCCTTCGTCCCTGCATCTATCACCCACGCTGACACCCTTACCCGCGTGAGGGTTGGAGGCACGTGGGAGGGCCCAGGGCCCTGTGGAGAGGGCCCAGCCAGAGGCCCGGGCGCTGGGGCCTATCGCAGATGTCGGCAGGGTCCCGCGCAGTCCGCCACTCCAGAGGCCGTACCGCGGGATCAGGACTGGGGCCGTCCGAGGACTACAAGTCCCATGGTGCCTAGCGGCCACTTCCGGAGCACGTCGGTGTCTTAGCGGCGCGGGCCACAGCCAGCGGACTCGGCCATGCTGCGAGCGCTGAGCGGCCTGGGCGCGCGGCCCGCGTGCCGGCCCCGGGTCCCGCTGCTGCTGCCCGCGCGCGGCCGCAAGACCCGCCACGACCCGCAGGCCAAGTCTAAGGTCGGGCGCGTGAAGACGCCGCCCTCGGTGGACCCTGCGGAGTTCTTCGTGGTGACGCAGCGGTACCAGCAGTACCGCCAAATCGTGCGCGCCCTCAGGTGTGTGGCGGAGGGGGAGGTGGCCGTCCGCGCCGGCGGGGGAGTGCGGGGACGGGCGGAGAGGGTGCCGACTAGAAGCACTTTCCGCCCAGGCTGGAGTTCGTGTCCGAGGTGCGGAAGAAGGTGCACGAGGCCCGAGCCGGGGTCCTGGCGGAGCGCAAGGCCCGGGAGGATGCCGCCGAGCACCGGGAGCTGATGGCCTGGAACCAGGCGGAGAACCGGCGGCTGCACGAGCTGCGGTGCGTGGGGCGGGAGGCGGGACAGCGCTGCCTGGCCTGCCTGGGAGAGGCCCGGGCCCCGCTCAGCCTCGGCCTCTTGCCCTTCGCAGGATAGAGAGGCTGCAGCGGGAGGCGCGTGAGCAGGAGCAGCAGCAAGCCGAGGAGCAGGCCCGCAAGGCCCGAGAGGCGCAGGCCTGGCTGGAGCTCAAGGAACAAGAAGTGCTGCAGCTGCAGGTGGGCTGCGTCCCCAGAGGGTGGGGCTCGAGCCGGAGCTCGGCCTGTGTGGCTGTGGGGATTCTGGGAACCGCAAAGTGGAGCGCTAGCCAAGTACAGACGCTTAGGGTTAGCAGGTGAGAATTTGGGAAACAAGGAGAGTGCCTGGCGAGGGAGAGACCCGGAGGTGAGCATAGAAATTGGGAAGTGTTCAAGTGCCTAGCAGGTGGAAGCCATGTCTGTGGGAGGGACCCCTTTGTCCATAAAGCAGTTGTATTTTGCCTTACAGGTGATAAAGTCATCGAAGGGGTAAATATTCTAGGCTAAGATTGGCAGGTGTAAGACTTCATGCAGGGAGACCAGTTAGGAGTAATCCAATGAGAATGGATGAGGCTTGAATTAATGTATTAATAACAGGAGAACGGATGAGTTTGAGAAGGATTCAGAGGGGACCAGGTAATATTGAGGGACTGATTCCACCTAGCAGGACATGAGATTGTCATAGCTGATGTTTGGGGTTCTGCCTGATGTGTCCGATGGGTGATTGTCTAAGAAAGAGGAATATAACAAGGCTGCCAGATTATGCCACTGGAAGGTCAGTGAAGCACTGAGAGGACCTGGGCTGTATGGGCCGGCTAGCATGTGCCGTGGGCCCCCCACTCAGCTGGCCTTTTCTCTCCCAATAGGAGGAGGCCAAAAACTTCATCACCCGAGAGAACCTGGAGGCGCGGGTGGAAGAAGCATTGGACTCCCCAAAGAGCTACAACTGGGCCATCACCAAAGAGGGGCTGGTGGTCAGGCCACAGCACAAGGGCTCCTAGGGGCCCAGTAAGGACAATGCCCGTCCAGGGACCATGTGTATATGGGGAGTAGGAGTGTCAGGCCTGATCTGGAATAAAGCAGTTGGCTTAGCCATTTCCAGCATGGCCCTCACATTCTGACCCCTGCACTCACCAATTCATCAGAAACTCCAGAACACAGTGCCCTCTTCTACCCTCAGTGTACAGCCTCAGCATAGCAGGAGGCCCTAGAGTGGCTCCCACCTCATGGATCAGACTGGGCCACAGTCCAAGTGGGGCAGCCAGGTCATCTCCTAAGTATCATCACCGGCAGTAATTGGCAGATTACAGTCCATGGGCCAGATGTGGCCTGCTGCCTGTTTTGTAAATAAAGTTCTGTCAGAACACAGTGACACCCATTCATTGACTGCTTTTACACTGTAGTGGCAAAGATGAGTAGTTGCAGCAGAGACCATATGACTTGCAAAGAAAAAGTTTGCCCATCCCTGATCTGGGGCTTTAGGGATCTGACTTAGAGCTGATATCACCTAGTCAATACCTGAGCCACAGGCTAGCCACTGGCCAGGGGCCTGCTTCTGCTCAGTCATGGGCTTTGTTGGCCAGGGTCTGGTGTATCCAAGACCCAGAAGACAAAGAGGAGAGCCCATTTATTCTGGTGGCTCTCTCCTCCCATGGCCTTAGTGACTCACATCTGCCCTGACACTGCCAGCATTCTTGGACCACCCTCCAGATTGCTGCTGGCAGAGGAGGCCTGGCTGACCAAGGCTTTATGAAGTCAGTGTGGCTTGAAGGCACCTGGACCAAGCCCTATGAGTACTGGGAATACTTGTGATTGACATTCACAAGGTTGAGTAAGTGATCCACAGCCTCAGTTCAGATGCAGGGCCTCGAGCAGCACATGAGATGAGATTGAAGACATGTTTCACTGACCCAGAGCTGCTCTCCCTTTCCTGCCATTCATATGGACTCCAGCTACCACCACAGGAAAATGAACAGAATCCAGCTTTCCATGACTCCTGCCTTGTAGGAAGGGCCTGGGGAACCCCCAAGAATTGAAAACTTCTTAGGGAATGTGGGCAACACATGCTCCAAGTGAGAAAGCAGGTGTCAGGTTGCAGATGGAGTTGCCTTATGCCTTGCACCTAGCACTCCTGAGAGCCATGGCTGCCTCAGGCTGGTAGTGGCTCTTCCCTTCCCTAGCACTGATTCTGGCTAGAGCATGGTGCAGTCCCTGCTTTTAGATGCTCAGCGTGGCATCTGGAGTGAGCTGAGGGGCACATGTTGTGGGCCATGGCTTGGCAATGTCTTTCACAGCCTCAGGCTTAATCGTGGGGAAGAGGGCCATCTGGTCCCCTGCAGTGGAAGCATTTGGCGAGCTTTCGTGTGGGACACTGGGCCTGTGTTAGAAGTCCAGCTTTATATAACATACTCCTTCCTGAACCTCCTTGTCTCCAGATTCCAGTTTTGTTCTTTCCAAGTCCTATGCACCAGAATCCATCAAAACAAGCCATCTATCTGTTCAGATGGAGGACACTGTGACACTTTCAAGCTCCGTCTTTGGGCTGATTTCCCTTCACTGCTGTCTCCAAGTGTCCCATATGGGGCCGTAAGTGAGCACTCACTGCTGGTACCAGTATGCCATCCAAAGCCACCAGGAAGCCAGGTTTCAGCATTTTTATTCTCCACCCACAGCCGTCTTGTGGGTGTAGAAATGAACAGGCAGCTTACAGGTACCTTCAGGGTTAGCTCAAGCCCAGTGCCATCTGTACCTGCTGTTGGATCAAAGAGTGCTGCTTAGGGGAACAGATAGGCTATGAGATTCCACCAGTCCAGGTGGCAGGGGCATGTGAGATCCCACAGTAGAATGCCCCATCTCTGCAGAAGCCTGGTTAGTTAACCTCATAGGCATGGCCTTGCTCAAGAAAACCAGGGTCTCTTTCAGATCCTTGCCTCAAGTTCCAAACAGGATTTGGATCTGCCACAGACAGTGTGAGCTCTGCAGAGTTGGAAGGGCCAGCCAGACTTGCCAGAACCATGCCGTTGCCTGGACCACCCAGACAGTCTTCTCTTGCTCAAGCCCCTGCTTGTGGGTAGTAGATTTGGAGAATACCCAAATGTAAATGCTTTAATCAAGATTGGAGGAGGCCCACCACACTTTGTGCACAGTGGGGTAGACGGGGTGGAGCAGGGGAGACCAAGGCATAAAAACAATTTGTGTTTCACTCAAGGGAACTTTGCTGAGTGGGCAATGTTTTTCCCTAAGGATAATCCCCACCCCCCCATCAAGCTTAGATGTTTTACCAAGACACTTGGGATTCTGGCCCATTGCAGTTCTCCAAGATAAACAGCATAATGTCCTGGCAATGGCTGGTCAAGTTCTTAAGGATTAGGTTGTGCAAAACTGCACAGTTGCTCATCTCTTGGGCTAGGTGATGAAGGCAAACTGCCTGTCCAGGTTGAACTGTTCGGCCAAGGAGACCACCCTAGACTTGATTAAGCCTTAAGCCATTCCCCGTATTTTTCTAGTACACTCCACATTTTCTGCTTGTAACTCAGTGAGTGGTATCCAATAATCCCTGAAATTTTGGGGGGAAATTCCCTCCTGAATTTACCCCTTGGTTATATCCCCAACTCTTTTACACGTACTGAGTTGAAATGGACACCTAGGAAATAAGGCCCGCTGACTGCTGAAATAAGGACAATTCTAGCAGGAAGAGTCAAGCTTGGAACTCTTTTTTTTCCTTCCCAAATAGGAAGTCAAAAGCAATATTGCAGCAGGAGGCAGTGGTTCATGCCTGTAATCCCAACATTTTGGGAGGCCAAGGGGGAGAATCACTTGAGCCCAGAGTTCAAGGCTGCAGTGAGCTATGATGATGCCACTGCACTCCAGCATGGGTTGACAGTGAGATCCTGTCTCAAAAAAATAAAATAAGACCTCATGTGGAAATCTCCAAGAGAGATAGGTGGGAGCATGTTTGCATGATTGCTTCACTCACTGCTTCTATCCAGAAATCCCTATAAACAAATTGAAAAATAGAGAAAGCTCTGTGAGAGGCCACATAGCTTTGTATCAGTAGTTACAAGCCTGGTGCAGTCTGCTCATATTTGAATCCCAGCCTCTCCTCTTACTATCTGAATATCTTTGGGAGGATTTTTTAGGCCCTCTGTGCCTCAATTTTCTCAAAAGTAAAATAGGGATAAATAATACTGGTATCTACCTAAAAGATTATTGTGGCAATCAATCAAATGAGAAATGCTTGTAAGGTTAAACTCAGTGCCTGGAACACAGTAAGTGCTGAATATCTGTCAGATGCTATTATTATAACATTACTATTTTCAATGAAACTAGAGAATGGCCTCAGACTGATACCATGGACTGAGAGGGATTACCTGCCAAACACCATAGTGAAATTGGCAGTGAATTGCTGGAGGCCAAGATCTGCCCTGCACCTCCCCTTGTCTCCAGCAGGGGGCAGACTCATCAAGATAGTGACAGGGCCCTCAAAAATGTAAAGGGTAAGATTAGTAAATTTAGCTACATTATTTAAAAAATAAGGAATGAAGGGCACTGGGGACCTAGTTAGTTGTTGTTCTCTCAGTCTGTGTTCTCTGAAACCACACTGTCTCTTAAACCTGTTGCATTCTGCATCCACAATCTCTCTCACTCTCAATTGAAAGTAAGTTGCAGACATGATATTTCATCCTCTAAATTTTTTTTTTTTTGAGACAGAGTCTCACTCTGTTGCCCGGGCTAGAGTGCTGTGGCGTCAGCCTAACTCACAGCAACCTCAAACTCCTGGGCTCAAGCAATTCTTCTGCCTCAGCCTCCCAAGTAGCTGGGACTACAGGCATGCGCCACCATGCCCGGCTAATTTTTTCTATATATTTTTAGTTGGCCAATTAATTTCTTTCTATTTTTAGTAGAGATGGAGTCTTGCTCTTGCTCAGGCTGGTCTCAAACTCCTGAGCTCAAACAGTTGAGTGCCACTACAACCGGTTCATCTCTAAATGCTTAAGTATTACCTTTTCCAAACAAGGTCATTTTCCAACCTAACCGTAATGCTACTGTCTGCCCAAGTAATCAAACAACTCCCCATGTCCCCCTCCTCCCACCCTTGGCAACCACCATTCTACTGACAACTCAAAGTAAGTGACTGAGGCAAAGATCTCAATCGATGGAGGTTTATTAAGCTAAAGTTCGAGGGCACGCTGGGGAAATGTCCCCAGAGGCATCTGTGACCTGTGCTCTCAAAGAGGGATTTGAGAGCTCAGTATTTAAGGGGAGAGGCCATACATACAAAAAGAAAAAGGAGGAGGGGGATGGGCAGTTAGGCAAATGGTTACATCCTTGTGAGGATCTAATTAAATCTAACCTAAGTTGACCATTTGAAGAGAAAAAAGGGGGGTAAAGGAAGAATCAATTAGGCAGGTGTCTCTGGGTGGGTGGGGGAATGGTTGATCCCATTTTGTCTCTGTTGTGCACCTGGGAAGATAAACTTTTAATCAACATTATTGGTGTGGTGTTGAACCAACTTTAGTTTTAGCACTAGAAACCTAGCCTATAAGTCCCAGCTACTCAGGAGGCTGAGGCAAGAGGATCGCTTGAGCCCAGGAGTCTGAGGCTGCAGTGAGCTATGATGATGCCACAGCCCTCTAACCTGGGCTCTAACAAAATAAGACCCTGTCTCAAAAAAAAAAACTACGAAACTATAGTAACAAAACAACATAGTAGTGGTAGAAAGACAGACCCATAAGCCAATGGAACACAATAGAGAATCCAGAAGCAAATCCTTTATTTACAGCCAACTTGATATGGGTGCAGACCACCACCCACAACAGTGGAGAGGGTTCTTGACCTCTGTGCAGGAAGGAATTCAAGGGCAGGGTCATAAGTGAACAGACACGATGTGTGGGCAGAAGTAGAAAGATTTATTGAAAGCAGAGTACAGTCTTCAGAAAAGGCAAAAGAGCAGACTGATTCAAGGAGGAACAGTGTCACGCCAGGGATAGGGTCTGTTCTTTTATATTAAATCTTAATGCTATGCTAAACTGGGGGTGGAATATTAATGGGTGTTTTGGGAAAGGGGTGGAGAGTTCCTAAGACTAGGAACTCTCCCTTTCCTGACCTTATAGGATAACTTCTGGGAGTTGCCAAGACATTTGTAAACTGTCAATGGCACTGCTGGGTGTGATTATTACTGTGTTAATGAGGGTAGTTCATTTAGGGAAACTGTCATCTCCACTGTGCCCACACCCCAATTAAAGGAATTCCCTTTTTTACCTTAGATAAAGATGTTATGGCTACAGTAAAATAACTAAAGGGTCCCTATTAGTTACATTTATCTTAGCTAACCCTACTCACATTCTTGTGACTTTCTTATCCTGTTGGCCTTCTCCTTCTGACCCCTGCCCTAACTGCCTGCAGGGTATCTGACTCCTGTCTCAAACTGATTTTTGACAAAAGCACCAAGAACAAACATTGGGGAAAGGATACCCTCTTTAATAAATACTGCTGGGGAAACTGGGTAACTATATGCAGAAGAATGAAACTAGACCCCTCTCTCTCTCCCATATACAAAAATTGACTCAAAATGGATTGACTATTTAAATGTAAGACCCAAAACTGTAAAACTAGTAGAAGAAAACATAGGGGAAACACTTTAGGACACTGGTCTAGGCAAAGGCTTTATGGCTAAGACTTCAGAAGCACAGGCAACACAAACAAATAGACACATGGGAATTTATTAAATTGAAAAGCTTCTGCACAGCAAAGGAAACAACCAACAGAGTGAAGAGACAACCTGTAGAATAAGAGAAAATATTTGCAAACTATTCATCTGACAAGAGACTAAATCTAAACTATATAAGGAACCCAAACAACTCAGCAGCAAAAAAAACCCAAATAATCCCATTAAAAAGTAGGCAAAGGATCTGAATAGACATGTTTCAAAAGTAGACCTACACATGGCCAACAGGTATGTGAAAATGTGCTCACGCTCACTGATCATCAGGGAAATGCAAATTTTTTTTTTTTTTTTTTTGAGACAGAGTCTCACTTTGCTGCCCAGGCTAGAGTGAGTGCCATGGCATCAGCCTCGCTCACAATAACCTCAATCTCCTGAGCTCAAGTGATCCTACTGCCTCAGCCTCCCGAGTAGCTGGGACTACAGGCATGTGCCACCATGCCCGGCTAATTTTTTTTTGTATATTTATTTTTACTTGGTCAATTAATTTCTTTTTATATTTTTAGTAGAGATGGGGTCTCGCTCAGGCTGGTTTTGAACTCCTGACCTTGAGCAATCCACCTGCCTCAGCCTCCCAGAGTGCTAGGATTACAGGCATGAGCCACCACGCCCGGCCTGGAAATGCAAATTTAAATGACAAACAGCTATAAGCTCACCCCAATTAGAATGACTTATCAAAAAGACAAAAAATAATAAATGTTGGTAAGAATGTGGAGAAAAAGGAACTCTTATACACTGTTGGTGGGAATGTAAATTAGCATAGCCATTACAGATAATAGTATGGAGTTTTCTCAAAAAACTAAAAATAGAACTACCATATGATCCAGCAATCCCACTACTAGGTATTTATCCAAAGGAAAGGAAATAAGTACATCAAAGGGATATCTGGGCCCCCCCCCATGTTTACTGTAGCATTCTTCACAATAGCCAGAATATGTAATTAACCTAAGTGTCCGATCAATGAATGAATGGGTAAAGAAAATGTGGTAATACACACAATGAAATACTATTTAGCCACAAATATGAATGAAATCCTGTCGTCTTCAGCAACTTGGATGGATTGGGAGGTCATTATGTTAAAAGAAATAAGCCGGGGACGGAAAGACAAACATCCCATGGTCTCACTTCTATGTGGGAGCTTAAAAAGTTGATCTCGTGGTAGGGAGCGGAAAGGTGGTTACTAGAGGCTGGGAAGAGGGAAGGGGTGAAGAGAGGTTGGTTAGTGGGTATAAACGTACAATTAGACAAAGTAACTTCTAGTGTGTGAGAGCACAGTAGAGTAACTACAGTTAATAATATTTTGTTGTATATTTCAAAATAGCTAGAAGACTTCAAATGTTCCCAACACAAAGAAATGATAAACATGTGAGGTGCTGAATGTCCTAAATACCATGATTTGATCATTACACATTGTATGCGTGTGTCCAAACATCATGTGCACCCCAGGTACAGGTATGTACAGGTATTATGTGTCAACAAAAATGTTATCAATGTGGAGAATAGGAATATTCACATAGTACCAATATATTTAGTAATTGCAAGGGAATCATGCACCGGCAAGATGGAGAGATGAGACAGACAGCCCCTAGCCAAGCAATCAGACCTGGCATCGCTAACAGTGGGGCTGCCTGGTGTCCTACACTTCCTAAAATAATACAACATGACAGGGCACTGCCAGTGAGCTATCCTGACCCAAAATGTCATGAGGAACAATCATACTATTCCAGAGCATGGGGCATTCTACAAGACAACTGCCTCAAGCTTTTCCCAAAGTCAATTTCATAGGGGAAAAAAGTAGAAAGACTCTTCTAGATTAAAAGAGAAAAATAAATAAAAGCGATAAAATACTAATTAAATTTAGTATACGAGCCTTGGATGGAATGTGGCTCCAAAACAAAAGCTATAAAAGTCATTTTTTGACAACTAGGGAAAATTAAATATGAACTAGATATTAATGATAGTATAAAGTTGTTGGTCAGGTGTAGTGGCTCATGCCTACAATCATAGCACTTTGGGAGGCCGAGGAGGGAGGATCACTTGAGGTCAGGAGTTGCTTGCTATGTCTGGGCAACAGAGCAAGACCTCTGTCTCTAAAAAAAAAAAAGCAACCAGGCGTGCTGGTGCATGCCTGTAGTCCCAGCTACTAGAAGGCTGAGGCAGAAGGATCACTTGAGCCCTGGAATTCAAAGCTGCAGTGAGTTATGATCACTCCAGCACCACACTCCAGCCTGGGTGACAGAGCAAGCCTCTATCTATAAAAAACAAACAAGAAATACTGGTACTGATCATTTTCAACATTATATATCTTCAGCCTACGCCTCTGTCCGGAACTCCAGACTCTTAGATCCAAGTGGCTGCCCAAGTTCTCCTCGGATGTGTAATGAACTTCTCAAACATACTGTGTCCTCAATGAGCCCCTCAAATCAGTGCCACCCTCAGGGTTCCTATGCCAGCTAATGGCAGCTCCATCCTTCCCATTATTCACGCCAGAAACGTTGGAGTCATCTCTGACTCCTCTTTTTCTCTCCTGCCCACATCCAATCCATCAGCAAAGTCCAGTTGGCACTTCTTTCAAAATGCACCCAGAATTTGATCACTTCCCGACAGGTGCACCCCCACACACACTGCCACCATCACTCACAGGGATTGCTGCGACAGTGTCCTCACCGGTCTCCCTGCTCCCCCCTTTTCCCCATAGTCTTTTCCCAACACAATATCCAAAGCTGGCTCAGAACTCTCTCTGGTTCCCCCTTTCATTTGGAGGAAAAGTCCAGGCCTCCTGTGACCCAGTCCCACATTGTCTTTCTGACTATAGTTCAGTCACTCTGCTCCATCCCTATTTATTGGCCTCTTTGCTGTCCCCTGAACATGCCTACCACCTTCCAGCCTCAGGACCTGTGCACTTGCCGTTTCCTCTGCTTAGAATGCGCCTCCTCCATTGTAGGCAAAATGCTAAAATGCCTCTGTGATTCCCACCCCCTGCTATCCACACCTCTGAGTAATCTTCTCCTACTTCATGTGGGTGGGACCATAACTTTCTTCTAACCATTAGAAAAATATGGCAAAAGAGATGGGGTATCAGCCCCATGATCATGCTACCTTCTATGGCAGAGGTGGAGGGATTGTGCAGATGTAATGAAAGGCCCTAATCAATCTGTCTTTGAGTTAGAAGTGCGGTGACGCTGGTGGAACTGACCTAACCAGATGAGCCCTTGGAAAGGGGTTCAGGTCTCACATCGACTTAAAGCAGAGACTTTCTGTTGCTGACCTTGAAGAAGCCTCTCGGAGCGTGACAGCTGCAAGGAAATGAATTCTGCCAACAGTCGCCTGTGCTCAGGCCAGGACTGCAGCCTTGGGAGGCCTGAGCGGAAGGCCCAGCTCAGCCGTGCCCACACAGCGATGAAATCAGCCAATGCTGTTTTAAGCTGCTAAATTTGTGGCAACTTGTCAGACGGCAATAGAAAACAAATGCCCCTCAGATCACCACGTGGCTTCTCTCCTCATCTTCACAAAGACGTCTGCACTGTCCCTAACCCTGTTTCTCCACAGCACTCGCTAATCTACTGCAACACACTTATGGGTACTGCAATCTGTTTACTGTTCATGTCTGTGTCCTTACCTACTGAAATCCGTTTATTGTTCAGCACCTCTCCTCCTGCGATCACATTAACATAAGCCCCAGGAGGGCCGGGATGTTCGCCTGTTTCATTCGCTGGTGTTGCCAAGCATCTGTAAGGGGACCCGGCACATCTTTGCTGAGGAGCTGTTCAACCTATGAAGGAAGGTGGGCTAGATGGGGCACCCGGTGCTATGGTAATTTATGCGCATGTGTTAGCCTGGGTGAGGTCAGTGTGCCCACAGGTTGGGCGGAGGCCTCTCTGGGGCTGCCGCTGGGGTTAAGGCCTTGGCCTTCTAGGCCTGGAATGCCAATGAGCTAATATTGGGAAGACAAGAGCTGCTGCTGATTTGTAAGCCAGGTTGGCCTGCCCCAGCTCCTCAGTGCTGGACAGCTCATGCTGGTGACTCAGGATCAGTGACTTCCAGTCAGATGGGCCCCTTCAGCCCAGCACCTTCCTTGCAGAAGGTCACCAAGAGTGCAGGAGGGTCTGGGGCTGTCCCATTCTCCTTTCCGGGGGTGCAGGGGGCACTGGGGGACTGGCCCTGCTGAGGCTGGACAGTCCGACACTGGTTCTCATTTCCTCTGTGCTACTGCAGGTGCAGTGCCCTGGGGAGCAGGCTGAGATGGAGTTTACCAAACAGCATGTTTGTTACAGAGGACCCTGGGGACCACACCTTTGGAAGGGAGGGGGTAGACACAGATGCAGGCAGAGGGAGAGCTGCCACACAGATCTCAGCGAACCCCATGGGGAGCTCCGAAGCTGAAATGCTCCTGCAGAGCTGTCCTGCGTGTGGGCCAAATGGACCACTGGATGTCACTGGATGTAGGCCACCTGGGAAGGGTGTGGCCCTGTGCCAGGTGGCTTTCTGCAGCTACATCAGGCCCTGGAGGGGCTGCCAGCTGGGGGCCACCTGCAGACCATACTCCCAGAAGCTGGGAGGCAAGTGCTTTGGTGAAGGGAGATCTGGGCAGTGCATGTCCTTCCTTGTCCACGACATTGACCGGCACTTCTTCCCCTGAGGCAGTCTGTCTGTCTTTAAAAACTGATTTTCATTTTGAGATATATTAAAAATGCATAAAAAGCCACAAAATGTTTTTAAATGCAGAAAACAAGAAATCAGATTACGAAAGAAACCGATTATATTTATATTCAGGTATCAAAATGTTAAGATACATTTTGATTTTGTTGTAATATGTGCTTCTTTACTTAACAGGCAGCAAGATCTAGTGGCTGCCGAATAGCCGCAGTAATTTCGCAGTAATGCTGAGTGTAAGCAACGTTCAGAGACATTTGCAACAGCTGCCACATGATGGCGGTTACCTGTTACTTCCATTCCTGACAGAGGCGCAGGTATTGGCAATCCCACTGCGCTTGAAGGAAAGGTTGATGATTCAGTTACAGGTTAAAGAAAGATGGGATCTTGTCTCATCCAAGTCCCAGGTGCAGGGAAGTGAGTGTTGCTGTGAGTTGCAGGTTGGGGAGGTTTTCTGGAAATTTGGGCTCAAGAAGAAGAAACCTGCCTGACAAGGGTAGATATGTGTGGTGGCCCAGGAGGGTGGGCAGAGAGTCCAGTCGGAGTGTCTTCCTGCCTGGAATGGCCCCAGTGTCCACTTTTACCACCCCTCTCAAGTCTTAGTTGGGCTGCACCCCACCGCCTCCCCAATTCTCCCTGTCCTACTCTGTGGCCCTGGCCACCGCAGCCTGTTACATTCTGCATGGCGCTCAACCATATGCCCAGATCATTAGTCCACGGGGTGACCTTGACCCCAGGCCAAGCCCTGCAAATGAGGGGGCATGCCTTGTGCGCACATGGCCTGACCCACAGCGACCCACTGTGACCAGTCATACGACAGACCTCTTAGACAGAGCTTGGCCAGCGCGGTGCCCAGACATAAAAAGGCCAGACCGTAGAGACGGCCACCAGCCACCAACCTCGGACCCAGGGCGCCTGCACCATGGCCGGCCCCAGCGTCGCCTGCTGCCTTCTGGGCCTCCTGGCGCTGACCTCCGCCTGCTACATCCAGAACTGCCCCCTGGGAGGCAAGAGGGCGGCGCTGGACCTCGAAGTGCGCAAGGTGAGCACTGGTCCTGCTGCGCCCGCTCGGCCTGAGGGACCCGGGAGGGACCCACAGCCACAGGGGCGGTCCCCTCCCCCGGCTGTCCGGCTTGGCCTAGGAGCCCACGCCTTCAGTAGATTCTGACCCGGCCTTGACTGTAGTCGAGGCGCAGACAGCGCCCCCTGCAGCGCCTGGGTCCCGCCGCACTCGCGAGCCCGAGCCCGGCCCCAGCGGCCCGGCCCCAGCACCCGCCGGCCTCGCGGGGTTCCCGCAGCCCCTCCCGGCTGGCCCTCCTCCCGCTCACCCGCCCGTCCCCGCAGTGCCTCCCCTGCGGCCCCGGGGGCAAAGGGCGCTGCTTCGGGCCCAGCATCTGCTGCGCGGACGAGCTGGGCTGCTTCGTGGGCACGGCCGAGGCGCTGCGCTGCCAGGAGGAGAACTACCTGCCGTCGCCCTGCCAGTCCGGCCTGAAGCCCTGCGGGAGCGGGGGCCGCTGCGCCGCCGCCGGCTTCTGCTGCGGCCCGGGTGAGCCGGCGGGACCCGCCGGGGTGGGATGGGGCGGGCCGGGGCGCGGCCGGAGTGGCCCCCTGACCGCACCTCTCCTTCTAGACGGCTGTAAGTATGACCTCGACTGCAACCCAGACGCTGCCTTCTCCCAGCCTTGAACACAGATGGCTCCGGATACCCTCAGAGTGTACCCTCGCTCCCCCATCGCCACCCCAGAAATAATGAAAATAAAGCAGATTTATTCCCTCTACCTCGACTGCCGTCTAAGTGTCAGAAATGGGAGGGGACCCTGTGGGGGGTGGAAGACTGCGCCCAGTTGAGCCTGTGTCTCTGGCTTTTGGCAACTCAGTGCAGTAATTCACAGCCAGCCACGGAAAGAAGTGACCTGACTGGCTCTCGGAGGGAGCAGAGAGGGTGTTGTCTGGCTGCCACCATCCTGTGGTGGGTGGAGGAAGGAGGGCCACAACAGGGACAGCTCCAAGGAGATGCAAACAGCCCCAACTTCCTGCTCCCAACAGGGGCTGGGCCACAGCAGGCTGCACTCAGGAGGGACACTTCCAAAAGCCAAAACCACGAGGATGGGGCAGCAGGCGGACTCCAGGGTCTGGCAGGAGCCAGATCAAGGAGAAGTGGTTTGTGGAGACTGAATGTCTCCCTGACTCATGGAAGGCAGCGTGAGCCACACCTTAGAAGTCAAGGAAGCAGAGCTGGCCTGCAGGGAGCGGGTACCGGGAGGCAGCTGAAGGGCCATCACGATTCCAAGGACCTGGACTCTCAAGCAGGTCCAAGAGGCCACTGGCACTCAGAGGAGGTGCCCAAGCTGGGGAAGGTGTGTCCCAGAGGTGACACGGGTTGGGCGCTGTGGATGAGCTGAGCAGGAGAAGTGGGACAGCTGCTGGCGGTCGTCGTTCTTCTCTGTAGCTCAGACCTGGCATTCGGTCCTCCTCGAAATGATGCCTTTGAACCTCCAAATTCCTTGGGGAACGTGCAGGACGTGGTTCCAACTCCCCTTTTGGGCAGCACTTTGTGAGCCACGTTACTATCCTGAAGTGACACTCATGGATAACGTGCCTTCCACACACAATTTCAAAACATATAAAATTAGACCACGCAGGACTATAACATACAAAAAAGTGGGGGGTTTTTTTACATTTTTTTTCTGAGACAGGATCTCACTCTATTGTCCAGGCTAGAGTCTGTCATACCGTCATAGCTCACTGCAGCCTGAAACTCCTGGGCTCCTGCCAGCCTCCTGCCTCAGCCTCCCAAGAAGCTGGGACTACAGGCACATGCTGCTAAGCCTGGCTATTTTTTTTCATTGTTTGTAGAGATGGGGTCTTGCTAACTTGCCCAGGCTGGTCTTGAACTCCTGGCCTCAAGCAATCCTCTGGCCTCAGCTTCCCAAAGTGCTGGAATGACAGGTCTGAGCCACTGCACCTAGGAAAGGAAAGTATTAATAATTTATTATAAAATATTATATTAACATGGAAATAATCAGGTAAGGACACACTATATGATATACTCACAGTGAATGACTGTTCATTCACTGTGCTGATTTTACCTACTTATAATGAATGAAATAAACAGAGATTGGAAGCCATTCTCTACAAGAACTTTAGGAAAATGAAAGAACAGAAGTACCACCAGGACCAATGTTCTCTTTCATGCCTTAAAAAAACACACAGGGCCAGACGCGGTGGCTCACGCCTGTAATCCTAGCACTCTGGGAGGCCAAGGTGAGAAGATTGCTCAAGGTCAGGAGGATTGCTCAAGGTCGAAACCAGCCTGAGCAAGAGCAAGACCCCGTCTCTACTAAAAATAGAAATTAATTGGCCAACTAAAATATATAGAGAAAAAATTAGTCGGGCATGGTGGCACATGCCTGTAGTCCCAGCTACCTGGGATTGCTTGAGCCCAGGAGTTTGAGGTTGCTGTGAGCTAGGCTTATGCCACGGCACTCTAGCCCAGGCAACAGAGTGAGACTCTGTCTCAAAAAAAACCACAAAAAACCGCACAGACTTATATCTGCATGAATTATAAAGAATGTATTTGTGGAAGACTTGGGGAAACTTGAAGAATGACTGGATATTTGGTTATATTCATGTATTACTGAGTTTTCATTTTGTGTCTGTGTGTAATTATACTCTGTTGGTATGTTGAGTCCATATCTTTTGAGACACATATGGGAATGTTTATAGATGAAATGTGTTAAATAAAATTTATGGGGCAGGGCGCTGTGGTTCACACCTGTAATCCTGACACCTAGTTAGGCCAAGGTGGGAGGATCGCTTGAGCTCAAGAATTTGAAACAAATCTGGAAAACATAGTGAGACTCCATCTCTAAAAAAAATTTTTTTAAATTAGCTGGGCATGATGGTGCATGCCTGTAGTCCCAGCTACTTGGGAGGCTGAGGCAGAAGTATTGTTTGAGCCCAGGAGTTTGAGGTTGCTGTGAGCTAGGCTGACACCACTGCACTCTAGCCCGGGCATCAGAGTTAGACTCTATCTCAAAAACAAAACAAAACAAAAAACAAAAAAGAGAGATGCTGCTGACGTTTCTGTTTTTGTGAAGCAACAGACCGGAGCACTGGACGCTGTGCCCTGGCTCTGGCGCCTGCTGGCCACAGCCCCTTTGCCCTGGAGACACGGCAGAAAGCACAGAGCTTTCTGTGACTTGTGGGCTTTCCCCTCTAAATGGCTGTGTAGCTGGGTCAAGGGGTCAAGGAGAGGGATAAAGAATAGAAGAATGTCCAGGGAGGCAGACATTTGTGCAAACTGGGGGTGGGCAGAGATTAAGCACCCTTCCCAGAGGGGGCAGCCTGACTGTGTTCTGAAGACAGGGCGAGGGGAAGGAGTCTCTGAGTCTGTACCTGGGAAGAGGAGAGGTGCGGACCTCATTCAGAAAGTGTCCCCAAGTCCAGACACCAGCACCAGATCCCATGCAGCCAAGACACCTGCCTCTTGCCACCTCCCTCTGTGTGGAAGGGCTAATAAATTCCCATTAGGTCTGGTCCTGCTGCAGCCCTGCTCCCATGGGGGCTGGCCTCAAAGTCTGCATGGGATCCCAAAGGAGATGCAGCCTCTTGTGGCCCCAAGACCTGGAGCAAGAAAGGCCAAGGACAGGATGCAGACAACAGAAGGAGGACGAGAGAGCGGGATGGGAGGTAATGTTAGGTCTGGTGGACAGTAAACAGGTGGCCATGAAGTGGCTAAGGGTGGAGAGCAGGAACCAAACTGTACCTAGGAACCAAACTGCGACAGGACCTGTTCCTGGGGGAAACACAAATAGTGGAAAGGTCCTAGTAACCTTTAAGTAATGTAGACCTCATTACCATCGAATTAGCATAACATGGGTGGAGCCTTGCAATGAATTCTGGGGAGGCCACATGCGCAGAAAGGGAAACTGTTATTAATACATAACCAGCTTGTTATGTAACCTGTTACATAACCACAACCTGACAGTCTCCCCAAAAGGCAGGAAACGACAACCAATCCTGCCAGGAGAAAGTCCGGATAAACTTGTGAGCTTATAAAAGGCAGGGGTTGCTCAGACTTTAGTGTCCTCTCCAACCAGGAAGACTGACCCCTGGAACGTATTTTCACTTTGTGTAGCTTCCTTCCTTCCTTTCAGCCTTTTAGCTGCTCTCTCTGAAAAATCTCTTCAGCTCTTCATAAGAATTCCTCACCCTTGGTTAGTCCTTCCTCTAAAATCTATCTCAATGTTACCTGCTTCTTTCCACTACTGCTTTGGGATCAGAAAACCTGCTATTTCCTGTCCCAGAAGCCTTGGCTACCTTCACCCCTCCCCAGAATTTGCTCCACTGGCTTAAATGGCACCTTTTAAGAGGAGCTTTCTCTGACTGCTCTATCTGGAGCATCCCCACTCCTATCTTGGTTATCTGCTAACTGGGTCTGAGTCATGGGTTTCATAGCACCTACTACCATTTGCAGTTCATTTGTGTGTGTGTGTGTGTGTGTGTGTGTGTGTGTGTGTGTGTGTGTGTGTGTTTATGGCTGTGCATGCTCTAGAATGAAACCCCAGGGCAGAAAGGACTCCATCTTTCTTATTCAGGAGTGTGGCTCCACTCCTGGTGGGGTTTCTGCCACACAGTGGGATTTCAATAAACTGTGGAAAGAAGGAAGGGAGGGAGGAAGGGAACCCCTGGGTACCAGCCTCAGCTCTTCAAGGAGTTGCTGTGTGACCTTGGGCAAGTCACACCTGTTCCTAAGGTTACTCACTTGATTACTAACCCTACTTCCTACCTCACTGAGGTCTTAAGGCAATCAGCCGAGGGTGCCATAAAGGGTTAAGCACCTTAACCATCCTTACATAACAAAATGTTGCAAGCCTCCAGGTTCAACCCCAAATCTCAGAATGTTCTTGCAAGTCCTTCTTGCCCTTAGACTACCTTTTCTGAGAAGAGATAACAGTTAAGTAATCTTAGCAGAGCATCTGCCTCTGCCCGTACCTCCCGTGTTCTTATTCCCCTGGTAAACGTACCACATAGCATCTCTGCTGCCGTTAGAGAGAGGTTGGCCTCATTTTCAAACGGATTCTCCTGCCGGCTGCAAGTGTGGCTTTCTCTCCTCTCCCCTGTTTTCCAATGGTTTTTTTGAGGACCCTCGATCTTGTAGACAACACAAACGCTTTGTAAACTATGATGGGGTGAACAAAAGCAAGCAGGTTGTGATTAGCGAGGTGTGGTGGTGCACACCTGCACTTAGCTGCTAGGGAGGCTGAGGAGAGGAGACTGCTGGAGTTTGAGACCAGCCTGGGCAATATAGCAAGACCCTGTCTCAAGAAAAATGGTTGTTGTAGAAACCCAAGGACTGCTTATTGGATTGAGTGAAAGAGAGTAGGTTGAGCAGATATAACAAACCTGCCAAAAAAGTGCTGGGCTTGAGGCAGAAGGTATGCAAGTGAAATGGATCCACATAGCAGGAGTAAGTGAAAAAGGAGAAAAAAGCCTTCACTCATTTTCAGACACCCACACCTAACTCCAAAACACATATCAGCTGGATGGAAGCAATAAATAGAATACAATCAGTTGGAAGGGGAGCTACACTTGAATATTTATCAAATCTCTAGAGGGAGTTATATTAAATTTAAAAGAAATCGGAAATGTAAAGACCTCATACAAATACTTACCTGTAAAAGTGACCTAAATAAAAGGCAAAATAAACGATGAGAAATATTTTTTCAACAAACACTTTTTCTACATTAAAAGCCTATACAGGCT